GAGTGTTGATTGTGGAACCAAGCAAGCAGAAATTGTTAACAATCTCAATAGCTTCTTCATCATGTGTTGTTGTTACATGCTATCGAGTTGCCTGCCACTCATAGCAATTCTACATATAACAGCTCTGAAGCTTGCCCTATCCTGAGCTATTCTCACTGACTCCAACACACCTATCCACATTGCCTCAGTTGATGTATCAATCCACCTCATTGGGGTCTTTCTCTCTTGAACTGTCCCTCCACCCTTTCAAGTATGAAGTCCTTCTCCAAGGACCAGTCTCTTCTGGCCACGTGCCCAAAGTATGTGAGATGGAGTTTCAGAATCCTAGCCTCCAAGGAGAAACCTGCATTTACCCTCTCCAAGACAGGGTTATTTGGGGTTTTTTAGTGGTCAACGATATGTTCAAGACTCTTCTCCTGCACCACAACTTAAAAGCATCAATTCTTCTTTTCTCATCCTTGGTAATTGTCCAGCTCTCTGATGTATAGGAAGTATTTTAAAAGTAATTAGCTCTCAAATTTGAAAACTTAAAGGAGGAGGATCAGTTGTTAAGCAGAAACTAATGACTGGAACATGGACTGTGAGAAGCATGAATGTAGGAAAACTAGACATTGATAAGAAAGAAATGGAACACATACATATTGGCATATTAGGTACTGGCAAAATGAAATGGATTGGCATGGGGCATCTTGAATTGGACAATCATATTACCTACTGCACTGAAGATAAAAAGGTGAAAAAAACAGGGTCTCTTTCATAGTTAAAAAGTACAATTCTAGATTCATTTTGAAATATAATGTTATGGGCAACAGGATAATATCAATAACACATATAAGCTTCCTGTTAATACTACTATTAAGCGTTTGTTGTTGTTATGTGCCACCAAGTTGCCTGCAACTCATAGCAACCAGCCCTAAACTCTGCTCTTTTCTGTGCCAATCCTACCGTCTTTGATACACCTATCCCCATTACCCCAGGCACTGAGTCAATCCATCTCATCAAGGGTCTTCCTCTCTTGTGCCATACCTCCATGATCCCAAGCATCACATCCCTCTCCAAGGACTGGTCCCTCCTTGCAGCATGTCCAAAGGATATCAGATGACGCTTCAGAATCATTGTCTCCAAGGAGCATCCTGGTCTCATCCTCTCCAGGACTAACCTGTTTGTTCTCCTAGTAGTCCGTGGTATATTCACCACTCTTCTCCAGCACCACAGCTCCAAGGCATCAATTCTCCTATCATCCCTAGTCATTGTTCAGCTTTCTGATGCATAATAAGTAGCTACAAAGATTATGTATGAGAAGTAAATTAGTCTCCAGACTGACTCTTATTGCTCTTCAGTACTTTGGAGAGGTTTCTAACAATAGACTTTCCCAATGCAATTCATCTTTTAATTTCCTGGCTGCTGGTACCAAGAGTATTGATTGTGGAGCTAAGCAAACTAAAGCTGTTAACAATCTAAATATTTTCACCATCTATCATGATTTTGCCAATTGGCCCAGTCGTGAAAATCTTTGTTCTCTTGATGTTGAGCTTTAATCCATATTGAAGGCTGCAGTCCTTGACCTTCTGCAGCAAGTGCTTCAGTTCTTCCTCAGTTTCAGCAAGCAGGCTTGTGTTATGTTTAGAAAATGAATATTTTTGCTTATCATCACTGAACTTCAAAGGCGTACTACAAACTACAAATGATTATAGTCACAATAATCTGAACCACAGAGAAATTAGGTGCTCTGTTCACACAAATCATGGTCGCCAGAGAATTTGACACAGAGTTACTTTGACCTCAGTGTCTGAGATAGTTGCATTGTATCATGTTATCTCATTTAACTGTTCCCTCTTCATCACCAATATGCACCAGAGAAAACTACATAAAAATATTATAATATAGGCGTGGAGAATATATTAAGGTATTAGGAGTAGAAGAGAATGACATTGAGAAAATAAATGAAGGTAGGAAGCAAATCTGCCAACTATACACTCTTAGCAGAGGGATGGGTAAGTGTGGACAGTTTCAATAAGAAAAGGCAAAATAAGAAAGAATAAGTTCAGTCTGTCCCAGTTCCTTGTCAAGTTTAGTGAGTCAATTAGAATATGATTTTATTCAGATTTTTGTCTTCAAATTAACTAGTCAGTTAAAACATTAAGTCCTTCTTAAGGAACTTGTTTTCTATGTGTGAACATTTGTAAGCTAAATGCTCATGTATGTGAAACTGGGGAAAGAACACATTGGTTTACTGGAAACATTTAGAGAATGATGATTTTAATATTTTTACCAGCTGATTCAAATAAAAAAATATAAATAAGTAAACTGAAACAATGTGGTATCTCATTTACACATATTAATCTAACTATGCATTGTTACAAACTGAATTGTGTACTCCAAACTATGTGTTGTAACTCCTAAACCCTGTATCTGTGCATGTAGCATGTAATCTGACTTGGAAATTGAGTTTTGTGATATTAAACAGATCATATAGAAGTACACCAGACATTAAAGAGCAAATTAAACACCAAATAAAGGAATCATAGGAAGGGGAAGGTAGCTGACACAACCATGTGAAGATAATCAGAGAACTGCAAAACAGAAACAGAAGAGACAAAGACTTCTCCTTAGGGCTAACAGACAGAAGCAGCTCTCCCTGAAGTGAATTTTAACTTGAATTTCTATTTTTTTCTAGACTGTGAGAAATAAATTTTAATTTGTTAAAGCCAACCAATTGTCATAGGAACAAAGAAAACTGGAACAATCACTCTTTACTTTTTATTTGTTAAATATTTATTGATTTTCTACTATATCTGGCCTAGTGGTATGGAGCTGCACTGTCAACCTAAAAGCACGTGGTTTGAATCTATCAGCTGTTAGTTTAGAGAAAGTGAGCAATCAACTTCCTTGCAGTTACTGAAAACCTGCTGGAGGGTTAGCTATGAGTTGTTTCTGATTCAATGGCTCATGACAACAGAAACATCTGCTATATCTATAGGTCAAGGTTCAGATTAGTTGTTTTGTAGGGTCACTATGAGTCCTACTCAACTTGATGGCCTAACATCCACTGTCTAAGGAGTTCTGGTGGCACAGTATATTCCAAGTGGGCTATAATCCAAATGTTAGCAGTTCAAATCCACTGTCTGCTCTGAGAAGGAAAGCTGAGCAGTCTCCTCTTGTAAAGAATTGCAAATCTGATAAATGGTCACTATGAATCAGAAGTGATTTGATGACAGTGAGTTTTCTCTTTTGTTTTTAACTTGCTATATAAACCACCTTGATAATATAGAGTGTAACTTAATGGGTTGCTAACCTTTTTAAGGTCAGTGGTTCACTTCCACCAACATTCCTTAGGAGAAAGATTGGCAGTTTCTTCCCATAAAGAATTACAGGCTCAGAAATTCAATGAATGATCATTCTGAGTTGAAAATGGCTTGAGGTAGGTTTCGTTAGAATTAAAGTAGTTTCTGAGGGATTATTCTAGGTTAAATTGTGCCCTCTATGTAGTCACCTGTTTTTACTTTGCATGATATTTTCTTACTTTACTTTTTAGGCTAAGCTTAAATGTCTCCTCATCACTTATGTTCTTTATTATTAAGGAAATTTTAATTTATAACTTGATTATAGAGTTTATATTGTACCGTAATTATTTAGCTATATTTCTATCTTTCCCTTTCTATAACACTTAACTTCAGAAACTAAATATACTGATAGCTATACTTCTAAAGTCTAGCCTATATAGGAGGTAGCCAATAAATGGGGAATGAATATGTGACTGTATGAGCAACTGAGTAAAATACTAAACAGTTAATCATGTCGTGATGGTGAAGGCTGTGTGTCAACCTGGCTGCTTATAATTATTTTCATTGGCAGTCATAGTATAGTAATTATCTTGATAATAGCTGCTATAGAGCAATAATTTTCTTGACAAAATACAGTTTAAAATAATCACTTCTAAAGAGATATTTGTCATCAAATATGTTGAAAGAGAGTTTACTTGAGGGTGGAGCATCTAAATAAAATATATTGATATCTGGCAAAACTCTCTGGCTTTGTCATTGATGTGAAATTTTATCTTAATCATCGGACCTCCAATACTTTGGAGTTGAGCCAGATGCCTTCCATATTATTGCGTGGCAATTTGAGGTTCATCAGTCTCTGAAGCCAGCAGCATGCTGCCTTACCTTGCTATCTTGGATTTGTCGGTATTGTAGCTATGTGGGTGTAGCATGACACCTGGCCTATGGCCTTGGGACTTGCAGTCTGTACAATCTTAGGATCGTTTGAACTATTTCCTTGTAATCTCTCTCCCTCTGTGTGTGTGTAAGTATTACTGGTTTTGCTTCTCTAGAGAACCCAGTAAAAAAAACCAGATGAATAGAGACAATTAATGATATATAGGCTGAGATCTTTAGCAGTTCTTTGTAAATATCTCTGGCTGAATTACTGTAGTTCAAGCCAGCAATTCACAGACCTTTCTGATGGATATCTAGAGATCTAAAGTCCTTCAGCTTTACTGTGAAGCTGTATTTACTGTGATACTGTAACATAAAAGAAGCATCCCATAACCACCCAAGCTTTTTATTAAAGCACATGGAAAAAGACCTTGTGTTAAACACAACGTTTACCCACAAATTCCCTCCTATGGACAAGCAAGAAAATCATGGGTAATGCAGAGGACATAATGCCTGCTTTTTTTTTTTTTTTTGCCACCGCCCTCCCCCACAAGAAAATGTATCTGTAGAATGTTATTGTTTAACCGAATACAAATAATGTATGAAACAAAAAAGTAGACTCCTGTCTGGGCATCATAAACAGCACATCCTTTTGGACACCTTGCAAATTTAATATGAACTATTATAATCACAATAATATAAAACATTTTCTAGTTTTTTTGTTTTATATAGACTAATATATACAGTTGCTTTCTTTTACTCTGTAATTCAGTAAGACTGAGTGCACTGTGTTTAAAAAAAGGCATAGAAATATTGTAGCTTACAATGTGGAAATGACATTACCGTGCACATGCAGCTGAATATTCTGTTGTGTTTCTCCAGCTGCATTGGTAGCCACACATGTGTATCTGCCAGCATCTTCCAACAGGGCTTTGGCAATTTGTAGAACTCGACCAGAAGACTGTATCTAATTGGGAGCAGAAACATGGCAGCATTTTATGCTTTACACTTGGACTTGAAAACATTCTCTGAGATAGACAAACTCATTTAAATTTACAATATCTAATTATACTTCCATGCCAACATCTTAATTATCTTTTTATACATTCGAGCCAAATCACTTCATCATGCATAAGAAAATAGACTAATTTGATTGAAATGCTTTTGCTATTCATTGGAAAAGGCAAAACAAAACAGCCCAAGGCCAGCCTGCTGGTAGGGTCATAAAACTTCACTGAATAAAAAGACTTCAGCACTGAACTATGAGGTATGTGATGAAAATGTAAGTTATTTGAAAAAAAATGTGGCCACATTTATATAACACTTCATAAATAGCTTTAAAACAACAATCTTTTTTGATTAAATGGTCACCAGAGCCAGAAAAACAACAAAATTTATAAAATATGACCAATGGGAATATAGATAAATTTCTCCCTGACTGATTTTCTTTCTTTCAGTCTTAAGTTCACTGCAATTGATTTCCACCATCTTGAATGTGATTTTCAGAAGTCACTTTTATTATTCAGAGCTTCCTAGTAACTTCCAACCACAATATCCAGAGGCCTACTTAACCTCATATTCTCTTCCACCACTTATAACATTTAGACTTACTCCTTGAAACTCTACTCTAAATGTCAAAACACCAGAATTTACTTAGTTCTAATTATCTGAATTTCTTAGGATACTTGTTTCTAGAATCTGCTCCCTTTTCCTGACCCACAAACAGGAAATCTATTTCCTCATACACCTTATCTGAACTCATGCTCTGGAAAAAAATCTTGTGGATACCCTAACTCATCGGTTTAGCCTCAGTATCTCTTCTGAGTGTCACATTTTTGTTTCTAATGGCTTGTTGGATATGTTAACACAAGAAATTTAACATCTCCAAAACTGAGTATATAAAAGTGTTTCTTTTAAATCTCTAAAACCATCTCCTTATTTCATGTTCCCAAACATTTGTAATTACACCCATTTCCTTTCCAGTTGTCAGGTTTAAGAGCCCACTTTGGTCCTCCAATTACTTATATCATTGGATGTTTCTCAGATCCCCCTGTCCATTGCCACAGCTACTAAGGGATTATAATAGCGTCATGACTAATGTTCCAGTGTCTCCAATCATCGCAACTGCTAATCTGTCTTGCATTCTGTTGCCAGAATAATTTGTCTAAAATGCAAATTTGATTATTTTACCAGGTCTCATTCAAATCTCATTCACGGTTCCTCACTTTGCCCAGAATGAAATCTGAACTCAGCATAGCCCTCCAAGTGAACCACATTTTGATTCTAGATGATCTCCCATCTAAACATCCACATAACGGATTCTCCAGTCATATTGTGCTACTTTAAATATCCTACACTTTATGCGACATATTTATACATTTATATCCACCTTGGGACCATTTTGCCTGGCTTTTAAAAGCTTCTTAAGACTATGCATAGGGTTGGTCCTCTCTCCTTTTATACCCCATTATTCCCTCCTTTGATTAACTCACCCATGCCCATAGTTTCAAATATTTATGTGTAAGTGCCCAGAGAGAGGTCTATTTTGAGTTCCAAAAACATACACTTTATCTGCCTAACATTTCACTGCTTTATCTCAAAATCCCCCCTTATACTCCAAAAATTTAAACCTCAAATAATGGTGGGGTTTTTCTGTTTGTTTGTTTTTATTTTCTTTTTCAAACCTGCCCTTTTCTGGTATCACTATCCATATAGTTTTGTAGTTTAGATACTTGGAGGTTTTCCTTTATATTGGCCTTCCTTCATCCTTTAGAAATAATCTATGATGGAACTTTAATAAATTGACTATAATTATCAAATCTATTCATACATTCTCATCTCAATGGCAAGTATATGAATCCAAATACTATTATCTCTCTCTTGCCTATAAATCTGGTCTTCCCAGGTCAAAAATTCCTCCAATTCATCTTTCAGAAGAAACAATATAACTACCTAAAATGGAAACCTCATCATACCATTCTATTTTTACAAGCTTTCAAAATCTCCCATTGCTTTAAAATAAAAATAGTCATTACCAATATTTAAATACATCCTTCTTACTCTCTAGTTTCCACTAATACCATTTTAGAAGAATTAAATTTGCTTAATTTCATGTTCTTGAGATGTCTAATATTTTTATCACTCTGATTCGTTTTCCTTCTGTATATTTATGTATACTTCTTTGTGTGTACGTCTCTGAAATACACAGTTTTCTTCTATTCACCTACTTACCTCCACTTTCTTCCAATCTCTATTCGAAGTATTTCTTATGAATTGTTCTAATACTCAAAGGTTTTGCTCATTATAGCCCTCCGGTTTTCCCCTTAAAATCAGTTAATGCAGTATACAATTATACTTTCATATGATGTTGTTGCTGTTAGGTGCTGTCAAGCCAACTATGACTCATACTGACCCTCTGGACAATGAATGTGAACCTTGCTCTATCCTGTGCCGTCCTCATTATCTCTGTTATACTATAGCCCAATGCCACCGTCATGGTATCAACACATCTCATTGAGTGTCCTCCTCTCTTTGATTGACCTCCCACCTTTCTACGCCTAATGCCCTTTTCCAAACCCTCCTATAAGAGGCTCAAAGTATGTGAGATGATGTTTATAATCTTTGCCTCTAAGGAGCAATATGGTTGCACTTTCTCCAAGATACATTTGTATGTTCTTTTGGCAGTTCTGGGTATATTCAGTACTCTTCTCCAACATCACAACTCAAAGGCATAAATTCTTCTTCTGTCATCCTTAATCAATGTCCAACTTTCAGATGTATAGCAAATAATTGAAAAGACTATGGCTTCTATCAAGTGAACTTTAGTCTTTAAATGACATTGTTCTTTAGCATCTTGTAGAAGTTCTGGGCAGATTTTCCTAATGTAGCATGTCTTTTGATTTCTTGACTGCTAGTATCAAGAGAGTTAATTATGGATTCAAGTAAAAGGAAATTGTTGACAACTTTAATCTTTTCCATTTACATTATGTTGCTTATTGTACCCAATACTTTCATATGATTTGGTGATAAATATTTGTCTTCCAAATAAGGAGTTGTTATTTATACTATATTTGAAAGATACATACTGATTTTTAGTAGAAAAGTGTTAGTTCCATTGGATTTGAAAAAAAGGAAACATAAATAAGCAGCTCTTCTACCACTACTTCTAATCAATCTCATCTATCATAAATTAGTCAATCATATCTTCCATCAATAAGAATTTGCTAAAAGCAAAAATCCAAGCCAAACTAGTCACCTATTTTTATTCTCATGCTATTTTTGTTGTTATGTGCCATCCAGTTGCCTATGGCTCAAAGTGACCCTGAGAACAATGGCTCTGAACTCTGCCCCATCCTGGGTCAACCTCACCATCTTTGATGTACTTGACCTCATTGTCACATGTGTCAATCCATATCATTGAAGGTCTTTCTTTCTTACACTGACCTCCTACCATTCCAAGCATGATATTATTTCAATATAAACATCTTTTAATTCTTCCAATTTAAAAATTCTATAATTTAGATTATCTAGGATTTTAATGGGGAACACTGGTGACCTCATGGTAAGGTGCAGCTGAAAAGTTTACAGTTCAAATCCACCAGCTGCTCTGCAAAAGAAAGATGGACAATCTCTTCTTGTGGGTTTTGCTGCTTCTGAAAGCCTATTGGAGGGTCAACTGAGGATCAGATCTTACTTGATGGTACATAACAATTACAACAGGATTTCAATCAATCTGTGTTATCTACCCATTCATCCACACATGTTGTTGTTATTATGTACCACTGAGTTGCTTATGACTCATAATGACCTATTATTAATGGAATAACTAATATTCCTAATGGATTAAGAATTATGTACCAGGATGATTCATGGTAAAGAACATGTAAGTGAACAAAGCTGAGTTTCCCCTTCCTGAAATTGACAATTATTTTTTAAGAGTTACTTCACATGGGTTTTAATTTAATTAAAACATGGATACTTTAATCTCAGGATTATTCTTGGTGAACAGACTAGAGGGGTTTATTGGATTACTATTAATAAACAACGTATATGCATTCATGAGACATTAATTCTTCAGTCATTAAAACAGGTTTAAGCCAAAATAGAAAAATTCCAACCACAATGATCAAATCAATATCACTTTAAAGGTTTTAATTACTTCAATTCTTTAAATCAAAATACTAGATTATTCTGAATAACTCCACAGAAAACACATCATGTTTTAATAAATTTTCCACAAAATACATCCAAAAGAAAATTCTATTATTAAGAAAGAAGAATATGATACAGCCTTTCCAAATTGGGCTCAGCAGTAGTTCTGCTTACTTTGAGGTTTCCGTGGGCAGTGTTCACAGGTTGGCCATCTTTTAGCCAAGTGAGGGATGGATTTGGGATGCCATTGGCTATACATTGCAGAGTGATAGACTTGTATTTTATCACAGCTCTCTCAGAAAGGCCCGAGGGTTTGATTGTTGGAGGAACTAGATACAAGAAATTGGAGGAAGGAGGATGTGAAGGAGAAAAGAAAAAAAGAAAAAAAATGATAACCAATAGGGTCAAATTATATACATGAAATTTTAAAATGTAACAAATACATTCATTTAATTTCATAAGTTTATTATAATATTTGCTACGTTTAAAAATTACTGCTTCTTTAATTATGGATCTCTAATTTTTTCAAAGACAAAATAAGTGTGTGCAGTTACTGCAATCCACATCCATGTTTGGTTTACAACTTTTGTTGTGCCTCTTCAGTCTATAATAACCTTCCCTTTCTCTAGAGTGACCTGTTTAAGTCAGCAGGCATTTCCAGTATCCCACATTATACTGTATGACTTTGCCCTCAAGACTATTGGAACCAGGGATGGTAACTTCAGTTAAGCTGGAACTGCCAGATTCCTCCTTACAAAGATAGGAATTGATATTGAGAAACAGAAATACTCATATTCCATCACTGAATTGTATGAGAAGAGGGGGAAGAAAAAATAGTCTTCAGAGACAGAGAAAAGAATGAAGTTGACATTCACAGAAACCTCTGCTTGGGGCTTCCAAGTGACTCTCTGGTTTCTGGGCACAGTCCCTCCTTTCCCGTCTGTGGGCAAGCGAGACACTTAATACTCTGGCAAAAAATTGCTTCTATCATTATATTAATGATTATAACCCGTATTTTCCAGTTCTGTGAATGCATTTATTTGTCCTGGATCCTTCAATAACATCTTCAGTCTCCATTTTTGGAAATGACTTTATTCATACTTGTCTCATGTTATAGCTAAACCCTTGGATATGGATACAATCTCTTTTCCTTCAAATTGGCTATCTTCCTTTTCTATCTTATGGGTCCTCATTCCCCAGATTCTGGTTTTCTCTTCAGAATATACTTCCCAACATTTCAATATTTAAATTCTGATTAACTTCATTCATTTGGTATCCCTTGTCTCGAACTCAGTAAAGTGCGTTAACAGTTATCATTAATTCAAATTTCCATCCTTCACACTGCTTTCCACAATTCAAGGTGTCTCTAAAGTAACTGAGGTACAGTAGAAATGATACAGTGAAACAATACACATGAAAGAAACATTTTTACATGTGATGCTCTTGTGCCCTTTATAGTTTACCATGAACAGTGACTTCAAATTCTTTCTTGTGATCTCCTGCAGTGTTCGTTGCCACACACCGATAAAGACCCGTGTCTGACACTTGAGCCTGTGCAATAACCAGCTTGCGTCCATTGAGTAAAATCTTGAATCCATCTCTTTCATCGACTGGCTGATCATCCTTTAGCCACCTATAGGAAAACGAAACCAAAACGGAGTCTAAAATGTATTTGAAATAATTATGATCTTAGAAGCTCACTCGAAAATAAAATGACATAAATTGAGAGGAGAAGGAAAAAGGAAACTTGCCAAACTCAAGAGTTAGTATATTTTTGGTACTCACCGAATTAAAACAATGTTTGAGTTCGTTATTTTTTGCTAATTTTAGCTAAAGAAAGAGGTAAATTCCCTTAGGCATTGCCCATTTCAAATTTTTAAATAATATTGACTGCAAAACCCCATGCAATCTTCAAACATCTGTAAAATGAAAATGTGAAATCTTACAGTATTTTGTTTACATTTCTAGTGAAAGTCATCACATTCCATTCAATTTTACAATCATATGTGAATCTTATCCTGGCACTTCACCTGTGTATGCTCTTTTCTCAAGGTTTACAAAGGAGTATGTTAAATAAATACTTTGTGAATAAAGATATGAGAAGAAAGGATCTGTAAACAAAAGTGCACGTTAACACATTATTTCCCCAATATGCTTTGTACATTTTAATTTAGTATTTTTGCATAAAATAAACCAATATAAATAATATGCATAGTCATATATAATATGCACCATACATATAAGGAACAAATGTGTAAATGGGTTGCTGTTTGAAAAAAAATGTCCAGTTTAATTTCCATGATATTTGTATTGAAAGAAGGTAAACATTTAAGTTATAGTAAATATATAAGGTTTAATATTTTGTCTCTAGAAAGTAAAAAAGTGTAACATTTTTAAGGACAGATAGTGGTGTTCCTATAATTGGAAAATTTGAGCATTCTCTAAGTAAAAGTTCCCCTACATACAGAATAGAAAGCAATTTCATGCAGTCACTTTTTAATGATATAGCATTACTTACAGGGTAGTTCTATAACATTCAAATTAAAAGTGGGAGGTATTTAGACATACCAAAACCCTTACATGATAGTTGGTGGTGGTGATCCTGTCACTTGACAATCTAGTTCCAGTAAGTTATTAATCATCACAATGAAGTAAGATGTTTCATCTCCTCCTTCTACCACTGGTGGCACTAAAAAACCAAAGAGGACATAACATGCAAACAACAGAGGTACAGAAAAAAAATACATCATTTCATTAACAATAATAAGCGACCAGCAGTAAAGATGAGTAATCACTATCATTGTAATTTAGTAGAAAAGAAGGATTTGCAGCCCACTGACAACTGATTGTTTCAAAATTTTCTACACTAAACACTAGCTTTGATCCACTAATGTTCTTTTGAAATACTGTTATTATTTCTTCATTAGTCTACAGACATTGTGTTTCAAATGTATTATAGATATCAAGTGTGCTTATGTATAAGGGAGTGTTCCTTATTTTTCAAATAAAAAATAATTTAAATAGAATGGGTGATAAATCCTCTCTGAATGTTTGGCAGAATTCAGCTGTGAAGCCATGATACATTCACACAATGGAATACTATGCAGCAAGAAGGAACAATGATTTTTTAAATTATTACATAACTTGAGAGGGTCTGGAGAGGATTATACTGAGTGAACTAACTCAGTCTCATAAAGATAAATATTGTATAAAACCATTATTGTAGAATGAGTATAAGGATCCAAGAGGGGTGGGAGAGGCTGGAAGCAGAGGGATGAAGATGGGCAGGGGAAGAAGGGGTTAATCATGTGGTTGTACAATTTGATGGGGTGGCTGTGAGGGAAATTGAAAGAATCTGTCTTGAAAACAATTTTGTAAACAAATAGAAAATGAAAATAGAAAAAAAACAACTAAAAGGGAAAGTATTCCCAAAATTGGCCCATCTATTAAAAAAGATCTTCAATTTATAAAGAAAGGAACAGAGACACTAGCTTACAGGTTGAATCCTGAATTCTAGAGCCCAATTTTCCTGTTATCTGAATGTCTATGAAAAAGACCATGGTGGACTCACAGAAATAAAAGAGTATACAGATGTAAAAATATATCTGTATCTCTACATTAACAAACAAAGTATACCTATGTGGTCGACTTGTAATGATGTGGATAAAGTGAATATCTTTTGGGTTGTTTTTAAGTGCCTAGATTTGAATACAACTCATAGTGACCCTATTAACAATAACACTGTCTTATTCTGTGTCATCCCCATCAATTTGGCTACAGCCCGTAGCTGTAGTCACTAGGTCAATCCATCTTGTTGGCAGTCATTTTCCCATTTGCAACTCTCTATCTTTCCAAGCATGATGTCCCATTCCAAGGTGTAGCCTCTTCCAGTAATATGCCTAAAGTAATACACAAAGCTTATTTGAAGGCAAGCATCCTTGCCTTCAAGGAGCATTCTGGTTACACTTTTCCAAGCCACATCTGTTCATTCTTTTGGCAGTCCATAAATCTATAGTCTTCTCCAGCACCCCAGCTCAAAGGTGTTAATTTTTCTGTCTTCCTTATTCACTGTATAGCTCTCAGATGCATATCAAGTGATTGAAAAGACTATGACTTGAATCTGGGACACCTGAAGTCTTCAAACTGACATTGTTCCTCAGGAGTGGTCCCTGATCGCAGACTTCCCTAGTGCAATAAGTCTCTTGATTTTCTGATTGCTGATCCAAGCAATAGGGATAACTTCAATAATTTTCCCCCATCTATCACAATGTTCTTTATTGATCCAATTGGGAGGATTTTTGTTTTCTTAATGTTGAGATGTAATAAACATTGAAGGTTATATGATCTTCTGCAACAATCATTTCAAGTTCTCTTCAATTTCAGCAAGCAAGGTTGTGTTATCTGCATAAAGTAGATTGTTGATAAGTTTCCCTCTGATCTTGATGCCACCTTCCTATTCATAGAGTTCAGCCTCACAAATTATCTGCTATCTGCTCAGTATACACAGTGAATATATATGGAGAAAGGATATACCCCTGACACATATCCTTCCTGCTTTTAGACCATGCAGTGTTTTTTTGTTCCATTTGAACAACAGCTTCATGATCTAGGTATAGATTTTGTATGCATTTAATTAAGTGTTCTGGGATCCCTATTCTTCTCAATATTAGCCATAGTTTGTTCTTATCTACACAGTAATGTGCCTTTGAACAGTTGATAAAACGTAAATAGACATTCTAACAGTATTCTCTACTTTCATCCAGGATCCATCTGACATCAGCAGTGATATCCCTGGTGCTATGTTATATTCCAAACCTTGATTAAACAACTGGAAGCTCTATGACAATGTATGGTTCTAGCCATTTTTAAATGCTATTTAACAATATTTGGATTGGATGTGATATTAATATTGTTCTATAATTTGCACATTGTGTTGGGTCCCCTTTCTTGGGAATGGGAACAAATACTGATCTCCTCTAATCCATTTGCTAGGCAGCTGTTCTCTAAATTTCCTGGCAGAGGCTGATGAGTCCACCAGCCAGGTAGACTCACTGACATGGTTCAACTAATAAGTGCAATTACATCCAAGGTTGTATCAGTTACTCGAACCATGTCAGTTGATATACAATAAATTCCCAGAACCTTATTTTCTCAATGCTTTCAGTGCAGCTTGGCCTTTATCATTCATCACCATTAGCTCTTGTTCTATGGTACTACTTCAAATTTTTCACTGTTGATTAATCCTCTTGATACAATTCCTTCCATCTTCTCTTTATGCTTCTCTATCATTGAAGATTAAAAATGGAAGAACTCACTAGGCATTTCTCAATCTGAAAGAACTAAAAATCTTTTGAGTAGAAACAAATAAGCAAGGTGTAGAGATTACTAATATGGGAGATAGTCAGTCTTAACTCCTCCTGCTCAGTTTAAACAGAGTAGCTTTCAACGCAGAAAACGGGAATCTATCAGCAGGAAAGAAGAAACAAAGAGGGACGCCTGGAACCATTTGTGCCAGATATGCCTAAATGAGATACACTGGGACTTCGCCAGAGCAGAGACAGAAGCAGAGATGGCAGAGAAGCAGAAACAGACTGAACTGGAGCTGCTGCCCCACAGGACAAGAGGTAGAGGCTTTAGCCAGATTTGCTAGAGCACTAGGGAGCACTAGAAGGCAGGGCAAAGAGAGCTTTGTAACCCTGGTTGAAAACCATAAGGCTGAAGGTCAAAGTGGTTTGTGAGCATGCTTCAGAAAGCTGTTCTTGTTTGTATCTTGTTTATAATCTGTTACCCTTAACAAACTCCATATTTGTATGGTGTGAGTTGTGTAGGGCTCTGCAATGTATTAGTAGACTTAGTAATAGAGCAGTGAGAGTCCAGAGAGGGACAACTGGTGTTAGAATTGACAGAAGAAGGTGCAAAACATAGGATCATGTCTAACCTCATAGAACTCTGTTTTATGTCATGAATGTTGTAAATGGGGAGTATTTCCATGTGTACGGTTAGGCACCCAAGCGTCGAGGACTCTCCTTCATAGGGTCACTATGAGTCACCTACAACTCAACAGCACTTAACAACAACAACAACAACAAAACGATTATATGAGGTAAGACACAGTCACTTCAACATCCCAACATCAGCCACACTATATTTTTGTAACCTATTGAAACAAGGCAAGAATTAAACGAGTTTACAGATTTTGGAAACTCCTGTTATAAATCCAACTCTTGGTAATAAACAGTCCAGAATGGAACATAATAACTAAACCTTCTCTGATATTAATACTTCTTTCCTTCCTTCATTCTTCCCTTTCTCCCTCCCTCCCTCCCTTCCTTCCTTAACTAGTTAGATTCTCTATCAATCTGAGGAATCAAGCAATGATGTCTTTATTTACCTAAAACCTCAACTTCATATTTTATTTCTTTTTCTCCTGCTATACTGGTAGCCACACATATGTATTGTCCACGGTCAGCTTCTAGGGCATTCATGATTTCAAGTTTCTTCCCACCAGCTTCAATGCGGATGTGGTCACTGGCTTTCACAGGTACTCCATCTTTTAACCAGGTGAGAAGAGGAGTAGGATTGCCGGTAGCTTTACACTCCAGTGTCAGAGAATGAGCAAGAATCACTTGCTTATTCAAAGGTGTAGTCAAGTCACCTTCAATCATTGGGGGAACTAAGTAGACAAAAAAATATCAATTAAGGCATTGCTTTGTGTAGTCACAAAATACACAAAATATATCTCAAAGAAACAAAAGTGTTATTATTTCTCACGTAGACTGACTACAGGAGCTACCAATATTCCCATGCCCCTTGAAGCTATTGAGGAAAGAATTTCTGAGTTTGGTTGACCTGAAATGATTATAATTATTTCACGATATATTGTACTGTGTCTAGCTAATAAAGACTAATAGTGAGGAAAGATCTTAGTCTTATCGGCAGATTACTTTCTTCATAGAAATAAAAAGATATGGATGACAGAAGCACCATTGAATAGACATTTTTTTGGTCATCTTCAAATATAAAAATATAAATTGTCAAAATCATGTGAAAAATTCCTCCAATTCTTTTCCATGCATAATAATGGAATAATGGACATTACCTACATCAGTTATTTATTAAGGAGCTAACTGAAAGAGGGCATTGCAAAAAATGAGTAGAGACAATGTAATTCTTTACCATAGATGTCCACATGGAATGATTTTTCAGCGGTTCCAGCAACATTGGTTACATGACACATATATGTTGCCGAATCAGAGATCTGTGCCCGAGGGATCTGGAGAAATTGTCCTTTATCGATATAAAGTGTTTGTGAGCTGGATATTACCGGCTGGCCATCCTTATACCAAGTAATCGCAGGCACTGGAAGTCCTCGGGTTTCGCATTCCAGTTTAATTACACTGTTTATCAATGCTGATATTTCTGTGGTGACATTTCCTCCTTTAATACTGGGTGGAACTACAAAGATTTCAGAACAAAAACAAATCTTGTAAGCCTCAGCATCTGCATCAGAGTCTTAAAAGTTAAAGCTGTCTATAGAAAGCATTTCAAGTGATTACAGTATTAGAGGCAATTAGCTTGTGATTAATCCACTTATAATTAGTTGCCCTTCTTGTCAAAACAGTCTTTATTATCCTCTTTTGAGTTTCAGATTTCAGTGGAAGCAAAAAGCCACAGCTCTGGTTCCAGGGGTTCATTTAAGTTCAAGAGATCATATTAGAATAACTAAAAAGTTATGTTTAACAAACAAAGCAAAACAAAGAGAAATTCCACTTAAAGAAGATACTGAATTTGAAATCAGGCCAAGAAAGCTAAAGCATCCTTGTTATGATTGAACTGCATGCTCTGTCCCCACGGAACACAGAAGTTCTAAGTGCTTTAAGAATCAGCTACTGGTAATAGCTGTGGAATTCTAAATTTTTGCTTCTTGCTATTTTGGGGTGTTGGGTGGGGGGAAATCTACCAAGAGCTCATTCACTCGACTTTAATCATTTAATTGGCTACATGTGTGTTGTCATCCACAATTCAGCATCCACATGCCTGGCCTCCCACATCACATGAGCACTGTGCTGGTTGGAAAAACAACTCAAGTGGCTCAGTGCCTGCAAATTATTCTCAACAGGGTCATTCCAGAATAATATCCTAATTGTTACAGTCTAAGAGAAATCAAACGGCATATGCTGAATGGAGTGTCTATATGTAACTGAAACAGAATTTTAATTTTAGAATGGTTTGAGATTTACAGAGTTCCCTGAGCCTCACATCCAGTTTCGCTAGCTAACATTTACTTGCCTTACATATTAGGTTACTGTGATACATTTGCCATTGCATGTTGTGTTGCTAACTCAAATAGCTGTGGTTCGAGTCCACCAGGGGCTCCTCGAGGGAAAGACGGGAAGTCTCCTCCCATAAAGATTTACAGCCTCAGAGACCTAATGGAAAGTGGCTGTGTGCTGGGCTTTCTTTGATGACAATAAGTTACTTTCTTTTCTTGGTCAATACAGCAAGAAATCCTTGCTGGCACTGCAGTTAAAGCAAAGGATCTAGTATTAATTCTTAGTGATTCTATCATTGGAAATCCTATGGGCTTCCCTGAGGCAAAGTAGCAACTATACACCATTGAATTTGAATTTCTTTTCTTTCTTAAACCCAACTATAATCTTATACAAATGATAACCTAATGCCCCTTTTCTGTTTCATATTTCCACTCACGATATCAGGTTACATGTTTTGCCATGTTGCCTCAGGCTTCTCAAACTGACAATTTCTTGGACTTTGCTCATTCTTGATGACCCTGAGATTCTGGAAAAGTACTGGCCAAGTATTTTATAAATGGGTCTGGAATGGAGCTTATTTTTTTTTTTTTTAATGTGTTGATAGATTACAAAAGTAAAGTACCATTCTCATTATATCAAGTACACATGCAATCAATATTATTTATAAATGTGGTTGATTTTTTTGTTCACCTGACTCAGGTAGAAATTGTCAGTTCTTCCCTCTGTAAAGTCACTCCACCTTTTTTAAAAAAAATCTATTTTGAGGTAGCATATGTTCAGTTGAATAGTGCAAATGGATAAGCACATGGCTACTAGTTGAAACGTTGGTGATTTGGGCTCACTCATCATGGCCTGGTGGTAAGGAGTTCCACTGCTAACACAAAGGCAGGTGATTGGAGCCACAAGCCCCTATGTAGGGTCAAGATGGACAAGCTCCGCCTGTGCAATTTAGAGACTCCAAAACCCTCCTGTAGGGTCAGTTCTAAAATTATTGCAACTTGACAGCACCTAACACTGCAACCACCATAGGAACCTCAGAAAGTAGACTTGGTGAAGTGCTTTTGAAAGATTGCCGCTGTTGTTTTTGTTATGGGAAGTCAAATTGCCTGCGACTCACAGATTAAAGTGTTATAAACCTGGTGGGAAATATCTACTCCATAACACCTGGGGTTGCCTTGAGTTAGAATTGACTTGAGCAACTGACAACCATAATATCTGTGTGGAAGACATTTTCAAAGATAAATCACATATAATACTTTAACAGACCAACATTAGTAGTTGTACAATTGCGGTTAATTTTGATGATGTTGTTGTGTACCGTTGAGTCAGAACCTTCCCATAGCTGACCCTCTGGTGGGTTTTCAGAGCCAGTTAATTGGAAGGGAGGAGATCGCCCATCCTCCTGCAGAGCGGCTGGTGGGTTTGAACTGTGTGGTTTGGGGATTGCAGTGCAGCTTCTTATCACTAGGCCACCAGTGCTTTCTAGGAAATACTAACTTTTCGACACCAATTAGGTGAAATGTATCTTCCTGAAATAAATTAATTGTTTACATTAGTAAATTTGTATTTTGAGTTTTGTCAAGAAACTATTTGTGGAAATGTGTTTTCCTTCTTAGAGCTCCATAAGTATCCTTGCTTTTGCCACATTATATGCAAAGCATGAGATACTTAATTTTTTAATTGATAAGACAAGCTTGTTAAACCATGCAATTGTTGTTGATTGCCATTGAGTCGAGCACAACTCATAGTGACCCTATGAACAAAACGCCTGAAGCCTTTTTATAACTATCATCATGTATCAAAGTTCATAGAGTTTCCTGAGGCATGTGGTTTAGGGAGCCGATGCCACTCCCACAATTAGTTGAAAAACTTTAAGAGCCACCATCTGGAATGCTCTCTATCTGCAATTTATTCAAGTTTTAAATTTAAATTTTTATTATATATTATGTCTTAATTTATAAATATAATTATAATGTTTTGGCTCAAATTGCAAAATCAGTTAATTATTCTTATTTGAATTGGTGGATACATTAAAAAGGAATATTCAAAAACACCCCAAATTCCTGTCTTGTATGAATGTAGCATAACTGCACTGAAAACTGGTGGTTAAAAAGTATGTATTTACCAAATTCTGACTAGGGAGGATAGAAGGAGAATCGATGCCTTTGAGCTGTGGTGCTGGAGAAGAGTTTTGAATATACCATGGGCTGCTAAGAAAACAAACAGGTTCATCCTGTAGAGGGTTAACCTGGGCTGCTCCTTGGAGGCAAGGATTCTGAGGCTTCTCTTGACATACTTGGGACATGTTGCAAGGGGGGACCGGTCAGTCCTTGGAGAGGGGCATCATGCTTGGGAGGGTGATGGGACAGTGCAGGAGGCGAAGACCCTCTATGAGGTGGATTGATTCAGTGACTGGGATAATCGGGGTGGGTGTATTGGAGACAGTGCGATTGGCACAGGACAGAGCAGGCTTTAAGGTTGTTGTACATAGGGTCGCCATGAGTCGCAGGCAACTCGATGACACATAACAACAACAACAACAACAACAACAACAATTTACCTAATTGAGAAAAAATTACCCCAAGAACATTTTCAAATGTTAGAACAGGCTACATTAAAAAATTTGCCAAATAAATATTTTACTTGTGATTTAATTTTTAACTCATAGAAACATTCCTGAGAGTTATATTAATTTTGGGGAAAGAATAACTATAGATAAAGACTATGGACATACTACAAGAAAATACCAAACCTAATGCTGTTGAAAGTTTAAACCTTAGAGTGAGAAGACTCCTCATATTTCTGTTATGAAGTATAAGTTTTAACATGAAATGCAATATACCATCAGGGTCTTTTCCACAAAAATAGACATATGTCTATACACATAGATTTTTATACAATATGAGCAGGCTCTCAAATTTCTGAAACTTACCTATAAATTTTGGGTTATAAGCCATTAATTCAAAACTACTAGCTTTGAATTTACACAATCACTTCAAAAATTAAAGGTTATGAAAACATTTTATTGCCCTCCTTCTTTTATATTTTCCCTCTCTCACTTTCCTTTTTTGTCTCAATTTCTTTCATTATTCATGCCTACCATCCATGTTGATCTTTCAGATGCATAGTTACATCTACATATTAATGTTTCTAAGGAAAAGAAATCAATGGGAATATGCAATACACAGCCAGTGTAAAACCTACTGAAGTATTTCTTGCTAAAGCATGATAATATAAATATATTTTTCTTCTCAAGGGGAAAAAATATCCATAAGGGAATAAAGGAAGATTTAGATTACCACCTAAGGTATGCAAGACAGATTATTATATCACGAGGATGGTTTTATTTCCTGAATTATAATACTCAAACCCTCACACTGTTACAATGCCTTTCAACTCACAGTCTTGCAAGCTTCAATCATTATAAGCTCTTTCTTCTGGGTGCCTGAGGACATCCTACAGATTGAACAAAAGTAAATGAAATAAAAACTGAAGTCTCAAGGAAATTGGAGTTAGAATAACCAAAATGTATTCATCACAAACCCTGGAAGCAACACAACAGTGTAGAAAAGACTACTCAAAAGCTTAGGAAAAAGATCACATCCATTGTTTTACTGTCTGGCTCTGGTAGGAGGTAGCAATGACACTTTTGTTTAACTCAGAAGCTTGGTTACCTAATCTTTGGTAATGTTACTTTATTTTTGGAGGAACTATCTTTTTATGATTGATTTCTTCTACGGGATTCTATTTATAGATAGAAATTACTTACAAGCCTGCATTAAATTAAATTTGATTTTAAAAGCAATTTGAAATTTGTACAACAATAAACTTTGAATAAAAAGAGAGAGGACTAACGATTATAGGTACCAAATACCAAACTTCATACTAAATACATTTCAAGTTTTTTTTTATTATTAAATTTTATTAGTTTTAATGAATATTTACAGGGATTTTGGGTTTTCACTCCTTCATTGCTGCACCATTGTCTCTACCCTCCTCCCCAGTTTGTTCTTCTTCCCCGACATTTCAAGTTTTAATCCAATATAATCACTGTATAGATAATGATAATAAGGAACACTGAGATCTTACTATAATCTATGTTGCCCATTTAAAACATCTAACCCTTGATTTTCACAATAACATATTAAGTGGGTACTATAATTGTTCCCAAAGGAGCCTTGATGGTGTAAGAAGTTATGTGCGGGGCTGCTAACTGAAAGACTGGTTGTTCAAATTTACAAGCAACTACTTAGGAGAAAGAAGTACAGTCTCCTGTAAAATTACAGCCTCAGAAACCATAAAGAGTTTTCATGAGTAGGAACTCTGTATCAGTGAGTTTTGTTTGGTTTTAGTATTATTATCCCCATGAAATACCCATGAAAGTACAAGCAAATAAATCAAATGACATATTGGGATGGGTGATTCTGCTGCAAAGCAATTCTTTGAAACTCAATTGCCATTGAGTCAGAACCAACTCATTCATAGCTGACTTCTAGCAGGTTTTGGGGAAGCTATTGATCACACAAGAGGAGATTTTCATCTTTCTCACAAAGAGCTGGTGGGGGATTCAAACTGTGAGAAAGCCATGGTATTTGAGTTAGTAGTAGAGTTTCCTACTCACTATGTCACCAGTGCGCATTGCAAGGGTGTACTTTTAAGAATGAATGTGTGCTTGACCCAAGAAATTACTTCATATGCTTGTGAATGCTGGGTAATACATAAAGAAGTCTGAAGAATTGCTGCTTTTGTATTGTGGTGTTAGTTAAGGATAATGAATATCCTATCAAAAGAACCAACAAATATGTCTTAGAAGCAGAGTAGCCAGAGTGCTCCTTAGAAGAAAGGATCACGAGACGTCATCTCTGGAGAAAGACATCAGGCTTGGAAGGTCAGTAAAAAAAGGGAAAGACCTTCAGTAAGATGAACTGATATAGTGGCTCTGATAATGGGCATAAGCATAGAAGCAGCTGGGAGGCTGGTGCAGGAGGAGGCAGGGCTGCTGCGTTGGTACACAGCATTGCAATGGGGTGGAACAGATGAAATGGCACCAGGAAACAAAAGAATGCTTCACTCCATTTCATTAATGACAAACCTGAACCTCAGAGAGGTGAAGTCTTTTTTCTAAAATCACAAAGACATTAAGTGATAAAGGTTGGCTCTGAATCCAAGCTTGTCATTTTAGAACTCAAGGCTATTGTAAGGAAATAAAATAAGATGTTTTCTTCTACGAATCATAACTTTCTTAAGTAGAAATGACAATAAACAACAAAATAAGTTATTTTTCAAATGGAGCTGTGATTTGGAGGGAAAAGAAGTAGGATTGTGTGAGGGCATACAGTTGGGTGATTATTTTGAATTGGGATAACTTCTGCGAGGAGGTGGCATTCTGAAATATCCCAAATATCTAAGTCTCATCCTCAAGAGATGGGTAGAAAGTAAGTCAAGAGAAGCCCAGTTTACAGGACTTGCCTATTGTATTCAATCTCTTTTTATTGTATGACCCAGGAGGTTCTAGTCTTTTCCTACTCATGGTACTCATAAAACAAAATGACCTTGTAAGTGACTTTCCACAGAGGATGTGAAGAACTGTGGTGACATTAAGGCTGTACAGGCATTTAAATTATAACCAATTTAAAAATATTGAACCTCTTAAGTAAGGTTGTACAAAAATCACTAGACAATTTTCACAAACTCCTAAGCATGCAACTACTACCAAAGGATAGGAACTTTGAATAAGGTTACGCTCTTTCTTCTTTAAATGTAAGTAGCATTCCAAATTAGAAGAAAAAATTGACATCAGAGTCACTGATTTTCAACTTAAAATGTTGTAGTTACTGTTAGGTGCAATTCTTAGAGTGGACCCTGTAACAATAGATATGAACCTTGCCCTATTCTACACTATCCTCTTCATATCTGATACATAACTTACAATGACAGTACATTAAAAAAAGAAGAGTACATTAAGAAAAAGCATGCTTACTATAGACAGTCAGCTTTATATCCTTGGTTTGTTTGCCAGCTGCATTAGACACAGTACACTGATAGCGTCCCTTGTCACTTCTTCGTGTGTTCTTGAGATGTAACACTTGACCTCTGTCTAGAAGTTCAACATTGGGGTCTCCCAAAAACAAAGGCCTGGAGAAAAGAGTATTTTATTCTAGTCATTTATTTTTATATTTGCATCTTTCCCCTTTTAGTAATCACAACAACAAAAATTAAGCACTTTACAGTAAAAAATAATGCTCAAGAGTGATTAAAAAAAGCACAGTGATGGTTATGATCTGTAACTCCTACTTAGAACAAAGAGATTATTAAACTGCTTTCACTGATGAAGTCATATAATTTTCACTTTGAGATAACAAGCTTCTCCACTTCAAAGTTTAAGCTGTTTAATGTTGTTGTCTACTGTTGCGTCAGAATCACTCCATAGCTGACTCTCAGTGGGTTTTCAGAGGCAGTTAATTGCATGGGAGGGGATTGGCCCATCTTTCTTCACAGAGCAGCTGTTAGATTTGAACCAGGTATCTTTGTGTTGGCAGTGCAATTGAAATCCTAAGATACCAAAACTTGTTTCATTTATCCATTTTTCTTTCTTTGTTGTTGTTGGCATAACCAAAATAAATACATTTCATCATGTTGAAAATATTAAAAGTTTACTATTACAGTATAGCAGCTACAGGTTAAGTGAGACTGTATTTAAATAATATCACCAAAACATTTAGAAATAGTATTTACAATGGTTGATAAATTATTATCTGCGAAAGACAATGATTACTCTTCTTCTTTATGTGGTTTCATTTTCTTTCTCTATAGAACAACACTGCATAATAATCTTGTCATAAGCATATTTATGTTTTATAAAGCAATTGAAATAATTTTATTTCACTACTGACATTTGGACAAAGAATATTTACATTCTAAATAAATTCCCAACATTGATAGTCTGCTAGATGATTGTTGTTGTTGTTCTTATGTGCCATCGAGTCATTTGCGACTCATAGCGACCCTAGGTACAACAGCCCTAAACCCTGCTCTATCCTATGCCAATCGCTAGATGATTATTAGTATGCAAAGTACTGTAACACTTTAGGATGTGTTTTTTTTAAGGAAATTACTTTTCCTTCCTATTGCTTATTTAATAATATTGGATTGGCACAAATTCACAAGCATTTACACATCTATTCTGATCAGCTGGATCCAATTATGAAATAAAGAAAAAATACTCACTTTCCATCTTTGAACCAGTGAATAGCAGGGAAGGGAGCACCTTTGACCTGGCATTCAAGGGTAGTGTCATGGTTAAGTATAACCGAGACTTCATTTGGAGAGCCAGCACCTATTATTGTGGGTGGAACTTGAAAAGAGATATTTTATTATGAAAAATCTGTGATGCAGCAAACAGGTAGAGAAAGCAGAAAATCTACATTTCAATAAGATTTAATCCTCAAAACAATATATCATGCATGTCTTCAGAGAAATCTATGTTCTTTCAAGCAGTGTGCTATTACATACAATAAAGAACCACAGATTCTGAATTGGGAGGGGAAAATCATTCAATGAGCCTTCTTTAAATCATCACAGTTAAATTGAAGGACTCAACAGTTAAGTTTAATCATCAGAACAGACTCATGAAAAATGTACCAGTAGGTTAATTTCCTGCAAATATAAAGTTCTGAAGAGTATTAAAACCACATGTAATAGAGGTTTAGAATGTAAATAATGAAGTTCATTTAGTTTCATGGATTTTATAAAGCTCATTTTTTAAATCAAGCTCATATATTACTAACTTGCTACATATTTTAGAGAATGAAATATTGACAGTATCAATGGAATAATTTCAAATTCTACAATTATACCACAGTGATGCTTGATATATGCCACCTGTGTGTCTTTTTAATCTAATAACAGATATGAAATATAACATGGAAAAGAAGATACTAGTTTTTGTTCTTTATACTAATTAAGTTTGTCTGCCTAACCATTTAATTCTCTCCTATAACACTCCATATTAAGATGTGTGGTTCATCATCAGAAGAGTGGCGAGCCATGAAAGTAAAGGAAGGACATGATCAGATTTGCATCTTCAGACCATGCTCACTGCTAAGTAGATAGGCTTGGCAGTGTATGCAGGAGTTAGTTAAGTAATAGGTATAAAGTTAGTGCCAATTTAGGACTACAGCATACATGCTAAATTAAACCATGAGGTATCCACTGGCTAAAACTTTGGAACACCTACAACTTTCCCATGTGGTGTCACTGGTAACCTTCAAAATGCAAAACTTTGGGTGAGTAATTAAGTTCATTGAGCATGTGTACCACTCAGAGATTCCTTCAGGGAGAGGGTAGCATGCTAATGGTTGGGATAATGAATGATGGTACCTTATTACATCAGAAATGGAAACAAAGTTGTTATCTTAAAACATAATTAGGAAGTAGAGGTAACAGGACATAGGTAGATTTAAAGAGTTAGGATGAAGGAAGTAGGAAAAACAGTCCCAGTTTCTGGTAGAGTAAATGGATGGGTATAGGTAGTGATCACTGCAGTGGAGATTGTGAAAGAGATCAGAACAGATGTTTCATCGAGATATTTCTGTGTGAGATGCCATTAAACTATTCCAGATAAGACATGATATTATTGTTATGTGCCATCAAGTCACCATGACTCATAGTGACCCTATGTACAACAGCTCTGAACCCTGCTCTATCTGCCAACTTATTGTCTCTGACCTACCCCTATTACCCCAGTCACTGAATCAATCTGCCTCATCCAGCGTCTTTCTCTTTTGTGCTGTCCCTCCACCTTCCCAAGCATAATGCCCCTCTCCAAGGACTGGTTCCTCCTTGAAACATGTCCAAAGTATGTCAGACAGAGCTTCAGAATCCTTGCCTCCAAGGAGCATGCTGGTTTCACCCTCTTCAGGTTAAACTTGTTTGTTTCTCCTAGCAGTCCATTCATTACTCTTCTCCAGCACCACAGCTCAAAGGCATTGATTCTTCTTCTATACCCCCTAGTCATTTTCAACTTTCTGATGCTATAGTAAAACTGAAGAGTGCCTTCTTTTCCAGGTCTCACATATTTTCTGTCTTTTACAGTGTATACACTCTTACAAATGTTCTATTGTTCTTTATTAGTAAAAAATATATCAGTTTTCCATTTCTAACAAGTTTTCACCTAATAAAAATTCTGTATTTTGCTGACTGTATGAAAATAACTTTAGAACAAAGAGGAGTGTGAGATATAGATAAAAATTTGGGACACTGCAACATATAATTCAAAGTCCTGACAGTAAATGAATGTCAGTAGAATAAAGCCAGTAAAATGAACAATAAGAAAAATAAATTGTTTTTATAATCTATACTTAAATCCACCAACAGATTTTTCAGTGGGGTGGACTCAGAGGAATTCAGGTTTTGAGGAGACAGATCTCACCACCATCTGATACTTAGAAAGCACACGTCCATGTTGAGGGAAAAACATCAAAAAGAAATGAGTCATTTTAGCACAAAGTGAATATTAAACGGTAAACATAATTTCACAAACAAAAATTTTCTAAATGTTAGATTGCCATTTTAGAAGCTCAAGATGTTTTATATCTTGAGTTATCTCAGCTGACACTCTCCATATCCTCCCATTAAACACAGACAGGACTGTGATGATTTTGTTTACAAGAATTAGTTAGAATTCAGACGTAGTTGGATTGTTATCATCTAATTTTTTAACGTACAAACTGACAGTGGTACGAAAAGATAGCAACAGCATGAATGATTTATATATTGCATAAATCCCTGTAGCTACTTCCCAATGAATTTCCTCTCCATAAAATTGAAAGAATTGCTAATAATTTCTTGTTTTATACACAGGATAGTATAAAATTTCCAAAATAATAAATGCATTCAAACTTCCTGCAGCCTATCTTTCCAAGAAATATTAATGATAAAAATTATGATGTGGTGAAACAAGTGCTACTTCTCTTATAACGTTTTCTTTTCTTTCCCTCTTCATATAGCTAGCTCAGTCCTGCATAACAAAAGAATCTGAATTGTAGTTTCAACATTCAAGAGAATATTTTTCTTACCGAGCACATCAATGTTAAAGTACTTCTGAGAAGTGCCTGCAATATTAATTGCTTTACAAGAATATCTTCCTGCATCATCTGGAGTAGCTTTAAAGAGTTTTAGGATCTTCCCATTATTCACAATCTGAATAGTGCTACTTTCAGTCACCTATGAGGACCAAGATAGTTCATGATATTTCTCATCTTAACAAAAATGGATAATTAGGAATGGCAGTAATATTTTATTATTATTATTAAGGAATTAACAATAAATAATTTCTTTCAGAAGTAGAAAGGCAGGGCAGTATATATATATTACTAGAGGTCTCCAATTACCTGGATGCCATCTTTATACCACATAATGATGGGGGATGGAGTTCCTTCAACTTCACAGAAGAGATTGGTCACCTGATTTAGTAGCACTGACACATTTGTTACTTGTTCTGTATCTTTTATCACTGGAGGAACTGAAAAAAAAAAAAAGAGCCGTGGCTAGACATATGAGAATAAATTTTATTTATAAACATATTTTTACATTTAGATATCTGTTAGCTAGTAAGGCTGGTAGTATTTAAGCAAATGTATTATTATATAGTGAAAAATTCTTGTGCTTTAGATTTGTAAGTAATACTGTTTAATGCCACTTTTGCTTTAATTATGATTTTAAGCATTTGAACTTATGTTAAAAGTTCAGATATAGTTCAGAAAGAAATTTGAAACACATCTATTCATTCTGCATACCACTCAAAAACCAGGCTACAAACGTTTCAGGCACACGGGACTCCTTACTACTGGCAATAAATATTGCCTGATAGCTAAAGAGTCTAAAATCAATTTAATTCTAAAATGTGCAACTTCACAAGATTTTCATTACAGTTTAACTTATAAAAACCATGTAAATGCTCACAATTATTAGAGGAAAGTTAAATAAATAATAGTATTTTTAAAAGGATGTTATGTAGCTAAAACCAAGAGGACTATTAAATTCCAAGATTCTTTATCACATGAAGTATAAAATATGAAAACCAATATGTATTATTTACCTTTCCGTGGATATAAAAATGTCTAAAAGATACACACAAACAGAGAAAATTAGTAGCTTTCCTTGCTTCTACGTGGCATAAATTTGTATCAATCATTTTTAACTACTTGAATTTTTAATGAGATACACAAACTGAAATATTACAGCAAATTACAATTCTCATGAATAAATATATACAACTAGATACCCAATTTCTTGATGGTTTTTCTGTTCATATCAATACTAAATAACATTTCATTGAGGCAATCACAGAAACCTGTAAGACTATGAAGAAGTCATGCATTCAGTTACATATTTGAGCATTTTTATCTATACTTACCATGAACTTTGAGATTATACTTTCTCTCTATGGTTCCAGCTTCATTGACTGCTACACAGATGTATTCTCCATTGTCATATGGTGTAACTGAAGCAATGACCAACAGTGTACCATCTTCCAAGATAGAAACACCTGGTTCTCTGCCTGTCAACTCTCTACCATTGTGTAGCCATTTGATAGTTGGTTTGGGGGTGCCTATGTAAGAAATCAAAATTTATGATAATTTAAAAAAATTAAAAACCACTGTTAAAGATTTGTATAAAATATACTGAAGAAAAAATGTTTATGATGAAGGTAGACAGGGCCCTTACCTACTATTCTACTCTAAATATCTTTCTTTTGGCATGAAAATTTGAAGAGCATGGCATTAAAAATTTCTCATTTCTGGTAGATCTTAAAGAGACTTACAACAAAATTTTGTCTAAAATTTTTCTATCACATTTTTACTAAATGAATTCATGATGACAAGTGAAGGGGGGAAACTGTGTTATATTAAGATGGAAGGAATATACTGAGTCATTGTATTGAAAGGAATTGGCAGATACAGAAGAATTTAATGAAACAGCATTTGAGCCAGAGCCTATGGTGATGAAGGAAGAAGTTCAAGCTGCTTTGAAAGAAATAGCAAAAAATAAGGCCCCCGGAATAGATGATATACCAATTGACATATTTCATCTAACAAATGATGCCCTGGATGTGCTCACCAAGTTGTGCCAAGCAATCTGGAGAACAACCACTTGGCCAACTGACTGGAAGAGGTCTATATTTGTTCCCATCCCAAAGAAGAGTGACCCAACTGAGTGTGGAAACTACAGAACAATATCATTCATTTAACATGCAAGCAAGATTCTACTGAAGATTATCCAAAAACGACTGGAACAGTACATCAGCAGAGAACTGCCAGAAGTCCAGGCTGGGTTTAGAAGGGGTCCTGGTACTAAGGATATTGTAGCTAATGTTAGATGGATCTTAGCTGAAAGCAGAGAATACCAGAAGAATGTCTATCTGTGTTTCACTGATTATGCAAAGGCATTTGACTGTGTGGATCATAACAAACTGTGGCTGACTCTGAGAAGAATGGGAATCCCAGAACATTTAATCGTGCTAATGCGAAACCTATACTTGGACCAAGAGGCAGTCGTCAGAACAGAGCAGGGCAACACTGCATGGTTCAAAATTAGGAAGGGTGTATGCCAGGGATGTGTTCTGTCTCCATACCTTTTCAACCTGCATGCAGAGCAGATTATCTGAGAGGTTGGGCGCTATGAGGAGAAGTGTGGTGTCAACATTGGTGGAAGATCTATTAACAATCTGTGTTATGCAGATGACACAACCCTGCTCAATGAAACTGAGGAGGACCTCATGCACTTACTGCAGAGGGTCAAGGACTGCAGCCTTCACTATGGACTGAGGCTCAATGTCAAGAAGACAAAACTTCTCACCACTGGACCAATCTGTAGCATCAGGATGGATGGTGAAGTGATTGAGATTGTTCACAGCTTCAGTTTGCTCGGCTGCACGGTCAACACTCTTGACACCAGTAGCCAGGAAATAAAAAAACGTATTGCGATGGGAAAGTCTGCTGTTAGGGACCTCTCTAAAGTACTCAAGAGCAACGGTGTCTCTCTGGAGACCAAGGTGTGCCTGATATAGGCCATGGTTTTTGCAATCACTTGTTATGCATCAGAGAGTTGGACAATGACTAGGGAGGATAGTAGGAGAATTGACGCCTTTGAGCTGTGGTGCTGGAGAAGAGTATTGAATGTACCATGGACTGCCAAGAAAACAAACAGATTCATCCTAGAGAGGGTTAATCCAGGCTGCTCCTTGGAGGCAAGGATTCTGGGGCTTCATCTGACATAGTTTGGACATGTTGTAAGGAGAGACAAGTCTTTAGAGAGGGACATCATGCTGGGTAAAGTAGAGGGACAGCACAGGAGGGGAAGACCCGCTATAAGGTGGACTGATTCAATGACTGGGGTAATCGGGATGGGTGTGTCAGAGGTAACGTGATTGGCACAGGATAAAGCAGGGTTTAGGACTGTTGTACATAGGGTTGTTATGAGTCGCAAACGACTCGATGGCACATAACAACAACAACAACAGATATGGATGAGTTTTTGGATAAAGACAAAAAGAAGAGGAAAAAAAATAAGCATCTCAGGGTGCTTAAATGGTGTACAAAATGTGTCATTTAAACAATCATGATCTGGTAAAGATGAGAAAAGTCTACTACCAACCAAAGATGTCATTAATCTCAAAATAAGACATCACATCAGCTATTCTTGACTTTGTATGTTGAAAAGATGTGGACGCAATAAAGTTTTACTTTCTTGGAGTTAGGTGCGATTCACAAAACAAAGAGAAGAGCTAGCCTCATGGGTAAAAGAAATAAAAACATCTTCAAGCACATAATGGACCCCAAAGGACATATTTGACATAGACAAACAATAACAGTATACTAAGAATTTATTTATCAGCAGGCATACCATGTAGCAGACACCATTCTAAAAACACTAAACATTCACTTAGTCTTTATAACGAGAAAACAAAATCCAAATAAAATTAATGTAATTATATATAACATCTAATATTAAAAGACAATAAGGTATTAAAAGATAGATAGTAACCAACTGGTTTTGTAACATTTCACTCAGATCACAATAAAAGGAAAAAATTCAACCGTGTAAATCAGATACAATCAAGGATAAATTCAAAAGAACAGATGACTACATGGAATGTGTCATCAAGGACAACTCCAAACTGACATAAGAACTTCTAAGTGTGTCTATGAAAAGAATATTTACGGGCAAAATAAGACAAAAAAATTGTTTACTAATTGTGGTCAATGGACTGATGAAGAGAAAATGGTTATTGGATTCCAGATTGGTTTGTTTTTGGTTTTTTTTTTCATGTTGCTTTGCCATTTAGTAGTAGAGTCTATGTTTTCAAGAAGAGAAAGGCATTACAACCATCTCCTTATCTTCTACTCATTCTTTTATTCACTTTATTCTAACTCCTCAATAAATATTAGTTAAAATAATAAAATAAATAAGATAAAAATATTCTTTTTAATTTGATGATTTGATTCCTATGAGACAAAACTCACAGAGATTGCTTTTTAATGAATTCAAGAATTATATATAATTTGAAAATAAGAAGCAGAGGAAGAGTTATACTAAGTCTGAAATCCATTGGAACAGCTCTTCAGACCACTCAGAACTTTACTGAAGATTATAAGATTTATTAGAGAAATTAATAGGTTATATTTCAAGTTAGCAACAAGATCAAATTCCCAAATCCTAACAACTTCTCAAGATTGGCTGTAGATTCTCACAGCTTAAGTCAGTGTTACAAAGTTCTCTTAGTCCTACAAATGCTGGTGTCTTCCCTCAGTCCTCCAGCAACCTTGGGCTGAAGACCCGTTGTTTATTCCATGAAGCAGCAGTCCAAAGGCAGCTCTTAACAGTTATGGCATTTTCTCTCAAGTCCTTGAGCAGGCTTGGATTGAAGATGTCTGTATTTGGTTTTGGGAGATAGTAGTCCCAAAACAGCTCTTTCTTCAATCATTTGGTAAGCAAAACATTTAGCTCTGTTTCCATCTCCTTCAGTCAACAGAAAGATCTCGTTCTTGATTAATCCAGGCAGTTTCTCAGTCAACAGATAATGACCTCTGGCACAGAAACCACTGGTTCTAAAGGATGTGCACTGCTTTCTCTGCTTCTTCTTTCTGGAGTCAAAGTTCCCAAACTCTGCTGCTTGATCTGCTCAGTTTAATGGTAATACTAGCAATTCCCTTGTTGATAGGCTAACAGGCCCTAAGAGAAAGAAATGGCTCACGCAGTTATTGATAATATAGGCAAGCTATCTGTTCTCAGAGCAGCTGGATTAAATTCACATGCTCTCAGGTCAGAGATGAGGCAGCTAGCTAAACAATAGTTTTGGAGAGCCATTTTAAGCAACAGAAAACCCTAACAACAAAGCCACTTGGAAGGCAGGGGGCTAAGGGAAGTCAAGGAGTCCAGTTGATAAGAGTCCAGTGTCAATGAGCAACAGAGTATTTACCTGAACCTTCTAATTAAAGTTCTCTCTGCAAGCTATGTCCATCTTTGTCCTGGCAGAACTGGTGAGTTTGAACAAGAGGAGAATGACATTTGGGTTAGGAGCAAAGTTTCTTCCAGACTATCACCAGAGCAGCTGCTGATAATTGTTTAGATACAGAAAAAGCTTCGTCATACTATTTTACTTTATGTTGATAGAAAATAATCACTGATGAAATGCAAAAATATCACTAAAGAAATGGAGACAACCATAAAAACCAAAGTTTATTGTTATCTCCCAGAATGACTTCTAGAGGTACATGTGGAAGCAACAATCGGATGCTACAAATCACAAAAAGCTCTCCAGGAGGTTATGAAGGAAGTACTGCTTGAATATTCTCAGGGTCACAATAGATCATGGCATAGGAATCCATGACATGTCTTTGTCACCTACTTCATAGGAGTTGCTGATGGAGTTGGTGACAGTTGCAGTCACACGCACCTCTGAGGAGTAGTAACAGCTGAACAGAAAACATGTTAAGAGAGAAAGTCAAGAAGAGCAGGGGTTTGAATGAGCCTGAGGAGCTAAGTGACAACCCACTTAGCAGAGGCCAAATCTGGGAGGTTTTGTGAACTGTCCAGAACAAACAAAAAGAGACTTCCAATTTCTACTTTAGATTTATTAAATCTAAAATATTATGGATAACTCTGGATGTCATAGTTTAAAGACAAGCCTTCATATAATAGAATAAACTAAGAAGGAACATGAGCTACCTGGAAAGCTTGCTGAGATGAGTCAAGTTTGAAAGAATAGAAGTCTTTCCATGGCAGGACATTAGTGATGACCTGGGAAGGAAAAATTCCCCCTTTCACAGGGCTACTATGTCAAAGAGAAAATAATTTCTGTGGTGCTCAACTATGATAATACGGTTGATGAGTGAAGTTTCATAAAGAAAGAGTTTTCAGTTCATTATATAATTTTAAGAAATATAACATTATGTTAATGTTTTTATGTTCAAGTATTACACACCTCTTGCAGGGCATGGAAATGCAACCCGTTGATTGGCAACTCTTTCTTGGAATGGATTGTTATATGGAGGTTCAAGTTCTTCCAGTGTAGGTGGTTCTATTAGAAAAATAAATATATTATCATGAGGATGTCCTTGAGAAGCTTCAATCACTCATTTTTCCAGATATCTGTCATAAATGAAACGAAACTAAAAATAATCTCCCCACAAATTCTTCATTCCATCATTTAAACAATTCTGCCTTAGTTCCATCCAATCATTTTTTTATGGGCTTCTCATTTACTCCTAATTTTCAGGTACTATATTAGCCCTTACGGGGTGTTAGGTATCATCATGTCAAACTGACTTATAGATGACCTTCCAGTGGGTTTTCAGAGGCAAAACATTATATGGGAAAATCATGCAGGAAGAGATTGTCCATCTTTCTTTCATTAAACAGCAGCTGGTGGATGTGAACTGTGTGCCTTTGGTTTGGTAGCACAGCTATTATCACTGAGCCATCAGAGCCCCTACTGACCACTAAGTACCATCGTTCCTTTGTTCCCATTACCCGTATTTTCCTTTCCGTCCTAAAGTCACTCCTATTTTAAATTTACCTTCTTTGGCTAGAATCAACTCAGTAAGTTTTTTTATTGAGATCTTTTCTTAAAACATCTCCCCGTTTAGAGCAATATTCTATACTCTCTTAAGAATTCACTCAAATATGAACCTCATTATATGGTTTTACAAATTAAAATTGTTACATTCACTTATTTTAACTATCGATTAAAGTTCCAATACTGGTCTTTCTTCATTGCCTCTTATCTCACTGAAAAGCCTCAACATTCATTCGTTCCAGGATGAAATTATTGAAGCTTCCTTCTCTTTCAACTTTCTCTGCTGAATGTATCAGCATGTACCAATTATTTAAGCCTAATTTTTTTTTTTACTTAAAGTACTAAAATTCATCGTAGTCACTACTATCCCAGTCTAACTTCCATCATATGTTACCTGAATCACTTGAATATTCTCCAGATGTTTCTTCCTCTGATTCTTTAGCTCCCTTCCAATCATACATTACCAAAAGAAGGATCATTTGCCCTAAAATCCTGTATCATAAATAATGTTTTCCTGGTTATGGCTTCAGTCTTTTCACTATGGCACATAACAACAACAACAACAACAAAAATCACTTCCTCAAAGAAATCTCACTTAATGATATATTTTAAGGTGGCCAAATTCCTGTATCATTACCATATGCTCGCTTTCTATACACACTTTCCTCACTATCTGAATTTTCCTGTTCATTTTTCTTTATTGTCTCTCAAACTGGCACTTAACAACAACACACACTTTTTCACTTTTCTCTCTTTAGTACATGTAAGCCTCAGGAGCTCAATAATATTTTGTGCTTGAAGGAAATAAATAATGATCTTTAAAATGTCAATACAATGTCAACATTAATAGAGGTGATATCTGACCTGAGTTTTCTAGGGATCAATTATCAATGTGTCTTAATAGTAAAAGATGAAATCCTACTCCAATTAATCATTTCTACCCAATCAAAAATCGTGGGACTGGCATTAAACTGGGATTATTTCTATTACCTGTATCATTTTTGTTAACTTCATTTTCTGAAAACTAAATGTGAAAATCAGTATAGATTAAATAATGATTAAGTTTTTTAAAAAATAAGTTTAAATAATAAATTTCATTAATGATTAGTTCTTAGCTTTCAGAGTTAATTAAGGTATCTGAAAAGTTAGATCAAAATCTTCTTAAAGTGTTCTAAGACCATGATAGACTCTCAGTATTTTTCATCCTCTTGCTGTACATATATTTTTCTGGGCTCAAAATCACCTTGGACATATAGTGTTATCTCTGTTTCATCGCTTCCTGCTATGTTAGTAGCAACACAAGTATATACACCAGCATCCGAGAGCATCGCTTGGTCAATGATTAATGTTCCGTCTTCCTTGCTAATGTGATGCACTCCATCAACCAGCACAGCACTGCCACCTTTCACCCAGGTGGTCACCGGACGAGGAGTTCCTTGAGCAGTACACGGGATGTCCACTCTTTGACCAGTTTGTACTTTTAGAAGTTTAGGGCCACGCTGAATCTTTGGAGGAACTGAAAAGACTTGCACATTAATAACTCAATTTTAAAAAATATTTTTGTTTTTCTCATGCTAAATGAAAAAATTACTTACCAAATGGCGGCTTGGAAAAGTAAAAAGAGAAATAGTTTCAATATTTGGGCCAGTGCTCACCTTACCTACCGGCTATTTCATCTTGGGCAAGTCAATAAACTATCCATGGCCTAATTCTTTAATAATTGACACATAATTATCATGTTTATATCAATTCATTGTAAGGATGAAAGGAAACAATAAAAACAAAACTATAAATTTTACTTTTAAAGAACAATAAGCATTAAAAAAAGTTTAAGTCAGAAATAATGTAAGATTTTAAAACGCTTCTAAAAGCTGAGATAACTTCTAAAGCTATAAAAGAGTAAAATCCAAAACACTTCTTTTTGTGTACTGCTTGTGGAAAGCTTCATCAGAAAAAGCAAGAAACTTTTCTCATAGAAGTTTTAGCTAATTTCACAGATGATAATATAGACTGAGTTCCTATTCTTTTCCTTTACCTAGTTTCCCTTAGAAATGTAAAGAAATTATTTTTTTAAATATTTACAAGAGATCGTTTTATATGCATCTATTATATATATATAAATAACTCATGGATATAACTGGAATTTATTTATCTTAATTCTGTAAAAGGCTCTTATTTGTCATTTTTGTTTTTTAAGACAAAATTTAATAAATATTTTGTAGAAGCTGACATAAACACTAGTATTATACATTTGGCACCATGATTGTCATTGAGTAAGAAAGCTAGAGCATTGTTAAGAAACATGCTTAAGGTCCCAGAGTTAATAAATGGCCAAGCCATCAGATTTCAAAGTTATGATCAATAGCACGCAATTATAGTGACTTCTTTGAGATAGAAGTCTGGTTAATTCTATCTGAGATTATTTTCTTCTAATATTTGGATATCTATTACCTGCATATAGCTGACATGGATTACATAATCAATATATATGTGTTGAAGTAATTATATGGACTAGAGTAAATTGTGGGGCTAAAGTAAACTATTGTAGAGTACTTGAAAAATCCTATGGGACAGACTTATTTTGAATTTTCTAGGCTCTTTAAGTCTTTTAAAGAGACAATTTAAGCACTATTTTACTTTTCCCTGGAAATTCAAATTCACTTTTACAAAGACTTACTGTATGAATATATGTTTTTATTCTTACTACACAGCAACAGTCGTATGTTTAAATGACTAGAGATATCCAGTAAAATGGAAATGACAAATTCAGTACTGATCTTTTAAAGAAAAGAGGATGCTTATTTCTACAAAGTAAGTATATATTTCAGAGTATAAAAAAAAATCACAAGAGTCTCAGATTTTAGAAAATGTTTCCATAATTACTCCAAATTTAATGGGAGTTAATACACAAAGAAGAGCTTTTCCTATTACTTCATTTCATTTCAGAACTCACCATGCACATTTAACTTAACGGACTGAGTCACATTTCCAGCAATATTTGTGCCAACACAAAGATACATCCCACTGTCTGAAACGCGGGTCTCAGTAATCTTCATTGAACCAGAAGGGAGGAATGTGTGTCTAAAAGGAAGAAATCATAGTAGACAACAGATATATAACTTAAATATCTCCTTTGTAGAGGAACTTTACTGTGAAATTACTACCTGAAAGTAGTTTGAAAAACAATCTACCTTCTGGAACATCATCGCTCTCTAAATATTAAAAGTCAGAAATTTTGCTAATTATCTTGTGTGTTAGGTATGATGTTCTTGCTAATACAAAATTAATTTCTGTTGCCTTTTAAATGTTTTTCTAAGTGTTTTTTAGTTGTGGTTTTTAAAACAAACCTTTTTATTGTGATTTTAATGAGTTTACAGAAGAGTTAGATTTTCATTCATTCATTGTTGCACGTTTCCTCCCTCCCCTTCCTGCCCCCTCCCCCAGTTCACTTTCTATTTTTTTTTTTAGTATTCATTTACTGTTACACAATTTCCTCCCTCCTGCTTCCCCTATACACAAAATTGTACACCTTTGCAATGCACTTCTTATTCTGGACAGTTGTCATACATATAATGCGTAATCATATATTCCTTATTCCTTTTAATCAACTATTTCTCTCATCTATCCCAATGCAGTGTTCATTAACTATGCACTCATGGTATGTTATAGAACCATTCATACACATTGTGTTTCATCTCATTAATTATAATTGATCTACTATTTAGATCTATTTTAATAGTCTAAAATGGCCCAGGATATAACTCTGTATTCCAAAGTTCTATCTACCTATGCAGAGCAAATGTTAACTCTACTCCTGTCAGGTCTCTGGTTCTCTGATGCTTATGCAGGCCCTGGTCTGAGCGATTCAGGCATACTTGCTCCTTTGGGACACACATTCTACATTCTCTGCTTCTTCTTTGCTGATGGTGAGATTCTCAATGTCTGCTGCTGAGTCCATTCAACTTAATGGTAAGACAAGTCAATCCCCTTGTGACCAGACCAACACACCCCATTCACATGTCCCCATTCATCCATGTGGAGAATTCAAACTTAATGGCTAGGAAAGGCATTTAAAATATGAACCCTTGGCATGACATACCATCCTCTTGTTTTTCTGGTTATTAATCATCATGTTTTAAGTATTAACTTTCCTCTTTTAATCATTTTACCAATAATTTCTTTTGTGAAAGCATATAGGCCAGTTACTTCAGGCCTCAGGCCAGAATATCCTTATTTTAAATAGTCAATTTCTGATTTGTCAAAAAACTATAAAATCAGTCTGAAGGAACTAGAGGAGAAAAAAAAGGCCCCAGGAATCATGTAATACCAATTGACATATTTCAGCAAACAGATGCTGCCCTGGATATGCTCACCAGGTTGTGACAAGAAACCTGGAGGACAATAACCAGGTCAACTCACTGGAAGAAATCCATAGTAATCCCCACACCAAAAAAAAAAAGGAGACAGAGTGTTGAAATTACTGAACAATATCACTAATATCACACATAAGCAAAACCTTACTGAAGATTATACAAAACCTACCAGAAATACAAACTGTGTTTAAAAGAGGCATGACATGAAGGAAGTCATAGCCCATGTCAGAAGGATCTTAGCTGAAAGTAGAGAATAACAGAGCAATATCTATCTATGTTTCATTGCCTATACAAAGGCAGTTCACTCTGCATATCACAACAAATTGTGGCTGACATTAAAAAGAACGGGAATCCCTGAATACTTGATTGTGCTTATATGAAACCTATACCTGAATTAGGAAGCAGTTGTCAGAACAGAGCAAGGAAACTCTGCATGGTTCAAACATAGAAAAGGAATGTGTTAGGGAAGCATCCTGTCTCCGTAGTTTTTCAATCTATATGTGGAACAAACAGTTCATTTGGCAGGCTAAACTAGATGAGAAGAAATCAGGATTGGAAGACTCATTAAGAACATGTGTTAGGCAGATGATACAACCTTACTTGCCCCAACTGAGGAGGACCTGAATCATTTGCTACAAAAGGTCAAGGACTGCAGCCTTCAATGTAGATTGAAACTCAATATCAAGAAGATGAAGATTCTCACCACAGTGCCAATTAGCAGGACTGTGATAGATGGAGAAGTGATCGAGATTGTTAACAATTTCACTTTGCTTGGCTCCACAATCAACACTCTTGGCACCAGCAGTCAGGAAATCAAAAGATGAATTACGTTAGGAATATCTGCTGTTGAGGACCTCTTCAGAGAGCAACAATGTCAGTCTAGAGAATAAGGTGTGCCTGATCCAGGTCATAGTCTTTTTAATTGCTTGATGTGCATCCAGAGCTGCACAATGACTGAGAATGACAAACGAATCTATGCCTTTGAGTTGTGGTGCTGGAGAAGAGTACTGAATATATCACGAACTTCTGAAAGAACAAACAAGTTTGTTTTGGAGAGGGTGAAAAAAACCTGCCCCTTGGGGGTAAGCATTTTAAAGCTCTGTTTTGTTTTACATATTTCGGGCATGTTGCTAGGAGGGACCAGTCCTTGGAATAGGACATGATGCTTGGAAGGGTAGAGGGACAGTTCAGGAGAGGAAGACCCCAGATGAGATGGATTGACACAGTAACTGGAGGAAAGTGATGGGTACGTCAGAGGCAGTGAGATTGGATCAGAACAGGACAGTGTATGGAGCTATCGTGCATAGGGTCATTATGAGTCACAAGCAACTCGATGGCACATACAACAACAACAATAACAACATCAAACCAGTAGTCTGAGGGAATAAGCTTGTCCCTTTGGATGACAATCTTCACATCAGTTTGAAAAGTTGGAGCATCTGCATCTACAAGCGAAGTCCAGTTCAAAAACAAAACAAACCCATACAAACAAGCAAACAAAAAACCACAGAATGGATAACCTTTTCTTCACCTGGTTAGATTCTAGTGAACTCATGCCCAGCCATCTGTGACTAGGTCCAAATGGGCATCAGCCACAAACTCAGGATTCTACACTTTCTCCTGCATTCTAAAGAAGCTGGTCCCTATACTCAGCTTTAGCTTCTACATGGGGGCAAATCAACAAAGCAGTGGTCCTCACGGCTCCATGCTCCTCAAGGTAGCAATGTTTGTTTTGTTTTTTCTTATCCATACATCTGTACATGCCAGGTTGACAGCATGTCTCTTCATTGCTGCCCGCCTCCTGCTTCCACTCCAGTAGATCCAGATGATCACTACAAGTGAGCATACTCGCCAGTTCCTTTTCAGTCCTGGAAGGGGCCTCTGATGGGTGCCTCGTTTATTTACCTTATCCCAGAAATCAAATTGTTTCTTCCAGTTATGATAGAAGACGTCCCACCTTTCTCCCTTAGATCAGCTAGTGAATTTCAACTGCCAACCATTAGCATAACCGCTAAGGACACTATCACAACAGCATGGTGGTTAAAAATCAAAAAATGCAATTTGTAGGCATAAAACTAGATGAATGTTGTTGTAATAATGCAAATAGTAGAATGGCAATAAATGTTAAAATAGACAAATAGCAGACAGTCATAGTTGTTGTTGTTATTATGTGCCGTTGTTGGTGACTCATAGCGACCCTATGTACAACAGCCCGAAACCCTGCTCTATCCCGTGCCAATCTCATGGCCTCTTACACACCCATCCCGATTACCCCAGTCACTGAATCAATCCACCTCATAGAGGGTCTTCCCCTCCTGCGCTGTCCCTCCACTCTGCCCAGCATGATGTCCCTCTCCAAAGACCTGTCTCTACTTACAACATGTCCAAAGTATGTCAGACGAAGCCCCAGAATCCTTGCCTCCAAGGAGCAGCCTGGTTTAACCCTCTCTAGGATGAATCTATTTGTTTTCTTGGCAGTCCATGGTACATTCAGTACTCTTCTCCAGCACCACAGCTCAAAGGCGTCAATTATCCTTCTATCCTCCCTAGTCATTGCCCAACTCTCTGATGCATAACAAGTGATTGCAAAAACCATGGCCTGTATCAGGCGCACCTTAATCTCCAGAGAGACACCGTTGCTCTTGATTACTTTAGAGAGGTCCCTAACAGCAGACTTTCCCATCGCAATACGTTTTTTGATTTCCTGGCTACTGGTGCCAAGAGTGTTGACCGTGGTGCCGAACAAACTGAAGCTGTGAACAATCTCAATCACTTCACCATCCATCCTGATGCTACAGATTGGTCCAGTGGTGAGAATTTTTGTCTTCTTGGCATTGAGCCTCAGTCCATATTGAAGGCTGCAGTCCTTGACCCTCTGCAGTAAGTGCATGAGGTCCTCCTCAGTTTCAGCGAGCAGGGTTGTGTCATCTGCATAACGCAGATTGTTGATAGATCGTCCACCAATCCTAACGCCACACTTCTCCTCATGGAGCCCAGCCTCTCTGATAATCTGCTCTGCATACAGGTTGAAAAGGTATGGAGACCGAACACACCCCTGGCGTACACCCTTCCCAATTTTGAACCATGCAGTGTTGCCCTGCTCTGTTCTGACTACTGCTTCTTGGTTCAAGTATAGGTTTCGCATTAGCACGATTAAATGTTCTGGGATTCCCATTCTTCTCAGAGTCAGCCACAGTTTGTTATAATGCACGCAGTCAAATGCCTTTGCATAATCAATGAAACACAGATAGACATTCTTCTGGTATTCTCTGCTTTCAGCTAAGATCCATCTAACATCAGCTACAATATCCCTAGTACCTCTAAACCCAGCCTGGACTTCTGGCAGTTCTCTGCTGATGTACTGTTCCAGTCGTTTTTGGATAATCTTCAGTAGAATCTTGCTTGCATGTGAAATCAATGATATTGTTCTGTCGTTTCCACACTCAGTTGGGTCACCCTTCTTTGGGATGGGAACAAATATAGACCTCTTCCAGTCAGTTGGCCAAGTGGTTGTTCTCCAGATTTTTTGGTACAACTTGGTGAGCACATCCATGGCAGAACAGAAAGGGCAACCTAGGTAGAACTGTCAAGCATGGAAATACAAAGGAAGAGGAACAGTTGTACGCAGACACTAGTAATTGGAACATGGAATGTGAGAACCATGAATGCAGGAAAATTAGAAATTGTTAAGAAAGAAATGGAACGCATAAATATTGACGTACTAGGCATTGGACTGGCATGGGGCATTTCGAGTCAGATGATCATATGATATATTATTCTGCAGATGAAAAGGTGAGCAAAAATGGAGTTGCTTTCATAGTCAAAAAAATTTCTAGGTCCATCTTGAAGTACAACATTGTGAGTGATAGGATCATATCCATACGCTTACAAGGAAGTCCAGTGAACACTACTATCATCCAGATATATGCACCAACAACCAGACAGTCATAGAGTAAAAGTTAAAAACAAAGAAAACAATACTCAGACTCCTTAAGGGTGCAAGTACATACAAAACACATTTTTTTAAAAAAGTGTTTGCCTCTGGAAGGGAAAATGTGAGTGGGAAGAATAGTGGAAAATCAAGTTTAAAGTTGTATTTCTTCTACTTAAAAGTAGTTAGTCTTTTTTAAAAGGAATAATAAATTTATATGCAATAATATTTTTCCCTTCACTATTAGTAGAAAAACTACATTAGCATGAATTTATAGCTTTATAAATATACTTTCTCAGCTCCAAGAGGAAATATCTAGTGGCTATAACTCTTATTCCACCTGTAATTGTGGCATAATGTTGAGTTGTTGTGAATGAGAGACTGGGAATGTGAAATATACATTACAAAAATCTTTTGAGTAGGTATTACTAATATTTTACAAACAGGAAATTTGAGATTCAGAGAGGTTCTCTGAAAAAAAAAAGTTTCCCAAAGTTTCAGGCAAGTTTTAATTGGTGAAAATAAATTTAAATTCCTACCTCCCTGGCAAATGAAGGCTGTGCTCTAAACACTGCTTTCTGTTTTCCGAGATTAACCTGCCCAACTTATTAGTGCAATAGGTCTTTATCTGTGTAAAGTGTTAATCAAGAAGACGTTTACACAGTCAACAGAAAAAAAGTAAAATCCCAGACACTGAGTGCATACTGTGTTTCATTTCTGCTATGATTTTTGCAATTCAATGTGGACTGCACACATTATACTAACAAGAATCTATTGTCCATTTTAACACTAATCTTATAAGAAGTAACACTAAGAAATAATGTTTAAACTAGGCATCAATATTTATCATGTTGTTGTTGTTAAGTGTCATTGAGTTGCAGGTGATTCATAGCGACCCTATGAAGGAGAGTGCTCAAGGCTTGGGTGTCTTTCATCCTCTCTCCGAGTTCATAGGGTTTTTGGAGGAAAGCTATTATGGAAGTGGATGTCACTCCTCCTTCCAATCAGTATTTAGCATACAAAAGAATTAACCAGACTGTTTATACACATTTCCTGGTAGTGTAGTTCATAGAGAGTTGTGCTGCTAACCCTCAGGCAGTTAGTACCAGCTTGAACCCATTGGTGGCTCTGTGAGAAAGCAGTATGAGACATATTCCTCCCATGTAATTCATAGCCCCTGGAAACCCTGAGGATCAGCTATGGGACAACGATGAGTTAGTGAAAGAATGATACACATTTCCTGTGGACTCAGGCATACGGTTCCTTTCTTTTTAAAAAATTTAAAAGCTATTTTGAGACATTTGTAAACCTGAAGCAGAGTACTGCCATCTGTCCCAAGAGTTTCCATTTTTATTAATTGTAATTTATAGCGAAACACCTACCTTGGAGAGAATGGAGAGATGAGCTGGGTCTCTCTGGCCCAAGTAATTATGGGTGGAGGTGAGCTCTTCACCTCACACGGCAGTGTCACCTCTTCTCCTGCGATGACAGAGATCTCAACTGGCTTCTCCTGGGACAGTCCTCGTTGGTCTCCAAACACTCTGGGTCTTACTAAAAGAAACACATTTTGAGAGGGGGGAAAATAATACATTATATTAAAAAATAGGGTCACTATGAGTCGCAAGTGACTTGACGGCACATAACAACAACAACAACATATTAAAAAAGTACAGTTTAACTTCCATTAAAATGTAGACTACTAATGATCTTTTTGTTCAATTTGTTTTTGGTAAATAGTTTCATCTCTCTTTTCCTTTAACTTTTTTATTGTGATTTGGGCCAAAGTTTACAAAACAAATTCGTTTTCTATTGAACATATCACACACATTTTGTTTTGTGATATTGATTAAAATCCTCCCACTGTACTGTAAGAGCCCTCGTCTCATTTCTTGCCCGTGTTTCCCTTTTCCATTGGCTCTTCTCTTCTACCCCTGTGGCTGACTGTTCTAGGGAGTGAGCATCTCCTGATGCTCTTGTTCACTTTGTGGGCCTGTCTTTTGTTTGAGTGAAAGTCAAGCCACTGGGATGAGTTTAGCTACAGGTTTGAAGGATAACTAAGGACAATAGTTTCAGTATTACACTTGTCTCTATCACATCAGTCATTTTGTTGTATACTGTTGAGTCAGAATCAACCAAGACCTGACCCTCTGGTGGGTTTTCAGAGGCATTTAATCACATGAGAGGAGATTGCCCATCCTTCTTCCTCAGAGCTGTTGGTGGCATCCAACCATGTGCCTTCAGGATTGCGGCATAGTTTCTTGCCACTAGGCCACCAGAGATCCCTATGAGTCATCGTAGTCTTTATTGCTTTGAGTTTTGTTGTACATTTGTCTCCCACTCCAGGATGTCCTGTTGTGATCCCTTCAGAGTGGTCAGCAGCAGTTGTAGCCAGGCACTATCTAGCTTTTCCAGTCTCAAGGTCATGGAGGTAAGGATTCATGGGGTCCATTGGGTCTTTGGCAGAAGTGCTTCCTGTATTCTTTGATTTTCTTCAACCTTCTGTATTCCAGACAAGGCCAGACCAATAGTTGCACTTAGGGTACTAATGTTCTTAAGTATTTTACAAAGAGAAAAAGATCAAACTCGCTGCAGTTGAATCAAGTCTAACTCAGTGATGCTCCAGTGAAGCTCTGAGGAGATACATCTTTCCAGAGGAGATTGTCCACCTTTCTCCTATGGAGCAGCTGGTGTTAAAGGTGCAGCAAGAAACAGGTTGTGCCACCAGAGCCCCTTTACTTTACTTTTACTCAAAGTTTCATGGCATATCTAAAGTATCTCATTTATGTGTTTCTTGTGAAAGGTAAGAAGAGAAAACCAGGGCATTTCTCTTCAGCTATTCTTCTCAGAACACAATGAAGAGCTCCTCTGAAATGCCCTGTTAAAATATGCCGTCTGCAAAAGCAACCCCTCAAGGCAAAGCAGGAACCAAAACATAGCTGAGGTTTGGCTTCCCTAGGAGTTTTAACTAACGTTGTTACTAAAGCTGATTGGGTGCAATACTCCTTGGGAAAAACACCATAAATGTTTTCCAAAAGGCCATACAATTACTCTCCCTTAAAGTCAGAGTCTAAGTAGAAAAAGTTTGGGTTGGCAGTGATAACACATTCTTGTTAGAATAAAAAAATAAGCTTTGGGGAGCAGTTCTCTTTAGGGGTATAGTTATCAGGTATCATTACTGTGAGAGGACTGTGAGTTTTGGCAAAGACTGTCAGTGTCAAGGAAAAACATGGCTCCAGGGGATCTCACCATAGACAGTCAGCTGCACTTTCCTCTTGGCATAGCCCGCTGCGTTGGTGGCAGTGCAGATGTACTCCCCACTCTCCTCAGCACCAGGTGACACCACATACAGGCTGCCATCAGACCCAGCTGAAAACTTGGCACTGCTGGTGGAAATCAGCTCTCCCTTCTACAAAGCGAAAGAGGATTTTAGCAAAGTAACTTTTAAAATCATAAAGGAGTGACTGCATGCATAGTAGGAGAAAAGGGAAAAGAAACAAACAAAAACTTCCAAGGGGCTGAGGGTTTACTAGATGTGGGGGGGGAGAATAGATAAATTAAATGATTTTTCTAGATGTCAGAATATTCTTCTTTATTCCAGAGCTACTACATTGTTGGTAGAAATCATCATCTCAACTATTACTCATATGAACAACAGATTGGAACCTTAAAGAATGGTGATAACAAACAACAGGTGACTGGAGAGTATGGTATGTTGTTGTACATCGGAACCTGCTCATAGCTGACCTCCAGTGGATTTTCAGGGCACTAAATTGTACAGATGGGGACTGGTCATCTTTGTCCACAGAGGAGCTATGGATTTGAACCACATGCTTTTACCTTAGCAGTACACCTCCTTACTACTAAACCACCAGAGCTATCAGAGCTATCGGAGCCCTAGTGGCTTGTTGTATATAGCAGAGTCAGAACTGACCTATAGTTGACCCTCCAGCGGGTTTTCAGAGGCAGTGAAAAGCACAGAAGAAGATTGCCCATCCTCTCATGAAGCAGCTTGTGGTCTTGAACCACGTGCCTTTGGGATTGTAGTGCAGATTCTTGACACTAGGCCACCAGAGCTCCCTTCTGGTAGCTTCATGATAAGGAATTGTGCTGTCAACACAAAGGTATGTGGTTTGAACCCTCTAGACACTCCATGGAAGAAAATGTGCAATCTCCTACCATGCCAATTACAGCCTCTGAAAGCCTACAGTGAGTCAGCTCCAATTTGATGGTACACAACTCATGCTTCTTTGAGCTTTTAAAATAGTTAATAATTTTAATGCTCACATTGAACTTTTAAAGAGTAACTAATTCAGTTTGCACTTTAAAAATGAGAATATTCATACACAGAGATGTAATTTCCCCAGTGTCCCAGAGCTTGTCAGTGATCAAACTGGAATTTCAACTCTGTCAATTTTTAGAGCCAGTGTGGCCTCTATTCTGAACTATTTCACAAAAGGTCCAGCCTGAAAAAAACATTTCATTTTCCATATTAGTAAAATGTATTCAACTTCTATTAGGTGCTAGATACAGTGTAGTTTGGGGATCAACTCCTCTGGCATTTTCTTTTTTATCCAAAATTTTTAAAAAATTAACCTTTATATTTATTTACAGATATTAATGACTGCTTCCTCATATCAGGGATTTTTAGAGCCATTGCCATCAAACCAATTCTGACTCATAGTAAGAATAAAACAGCCAGATACGATTTCTAAGACTGTAATTCCTTACAAAAGCAAAACTGTCACATCTTGCACAGAGCAGCTAACAGGTTTAAGCCAACTTTTTGATATGTAACCAAGAGCTTAATCTCTTCTGACATCCATTTAGTCTTTTCTTTCTAGTCTGTCTTCTTGGTAACATTTTATCTTCTTCATAGGGTCACTATAAGCAGAGGTGTAGTGAAGTGCCCAGGAAATCTCTAAATTGTGCTCTCTCCCAATTTCAAAATGAACAGATGCTGAGAGGGGTGATGTGCCTCTCCCTCTCTTGTATGACTGTCTGAACCTTTCATATTGTTGGCACATCACAATGTCTTTTGTGTGCCCTGTGTAACATGCTCTTGGGCTTGTATCTGGGGATGAATTTCCCCCTCTGTGTCCATCTCAAGTCACTTCTGGGTATATATCATGCTTTAGTAAGAATGCTGGAGTAGATTGGGTCAACACAGACTACTCACTGTCACTTCCTGCAAGTGCCCAGGACAAATCTCATATTTTCCATACCTTCAATGAGCTACTCTCTGGCCATAAATCAGAATCACATAATGACAATGAGTTTGGTTTGTTGATGAATCCTCTTACCTAAAATAATTAATCTTTTGCTCTTCATTCCTGGGCAATAATTTTTGGAATTTCCTAGATAGCCAAGATACTTTTACTATCTAAAACAAACACTACATTTGAGAACTTATGAAAGTGAGAAGGTCAGGTTCAGAAAACTGGTCAGCTTATCTCAGGAGGGAAGTGAGGCATGATTTAGTTAATCATGAATATTGAATCTGATTTAGCCAAAGAGATTCCAATCATAACTACACAATGAAGTCTATAAAAGACTCTGAACATGGAGTTCTCTGTGATTCCTGTTTGGTGAAATAATTTATGCACAGGATAATGATACACATTCTTGTTCCACACTGGGATCCCTCCCAGACTTCATTCTATGCATCTTTTTAATTTTTATTCTTTCTGATTATAATAATTTGACAGATAATCATCATGAATTTTGTGAGTTTTGAATGCAAAGGAGAAAATAAGAGCCAGGAGGTTAAAAACCTAGTGTATCAGGTAAACTTTGCAAGCTTGCTTCTGGGGGCTTTCTCTCTCTCTCTCTCTCTATTGGTTTACATTAAATGATTTATATATATTGTGTTTCATGGATGTACTTTGTGTTTTACACAATATTTCATTTACATTGTTTTTAGTTCACGTATATTGTGGGGGTTTCCCCCCCTTAAAATTTTACTAATAACTACATTTGTGAAAATGTATAAGCCATCTACTTCATGACTTATGCCATAATATCCTCATTCTAAATAGCCAATTTCTGACTTTCCCATCCCCATTAAACAAGTATCCTGAGGGTACAATCATATCCCATTAACTGAAAAATCATCTGTTCAATGTGGAAACTTTGAGCATCCGCATCCACAAATAAAATCCAGTCCAGAGCAAGCCATCAGGTGCAGGAACAGATCATCAACACTAGCTCAAAGCATGGATCTTCTTCTGGTTGGGCTCTGGGTAAGTCATTCCCAGCCATCTGTGGCTAGGTTCAAATAGAAATCAGCATCAAACTCAGGTGTACACACTTCTCTCTGCATTCTAGGCATGTTGGTCTTCCTCCACTCAGCCTTAGCCCCCACATGGGGCCAAGTCAATAAACTAAGAAGCCTCATGACTCCCTGCTCCTCAAGTCTACAACCTTTTTTTGCTTATCCAGACATCTATGCATGCACATCTGTGCATGCTGAAGTATCATGTCCAAGTTCAGCCTGTGTACTCATTGTTGTATTCCTCCTGTCTCCACTCCAGTGGATCCAGGTGATCACTCTGAGTTAGCATACTCACCAGCTCCCTTCAATAGTTTATTGTATGAAGTACAATGTGTATGAGGGATAGTGTGGAGCGCAATGTACATGGATACAGCTCAATGTGTATGGGTGGTTATATGTCAATCAGGGGGATAAACAATGTATGATATAAATGAACACTGGATAGTGCAGATTAAGAAAGCACATAATTCTGCCTTTGACCAGTAATTAATGGAAGTACTAAAAGGGAAGATCTGCCCTAGAGATAAGCTTGTTAAAAGTAGAATTTGGTTTTGATTTTCAGCTCTCTTATTGCCAATAATTTTGAGCATTTCTTTATGTGCCTGTTGGCCATCTGAATATCTTCCTCTGTGAAAATTCTTTTCATGTCTTTCGCCATTTTGTAATGGTGTTATCAGTCTTTTTCTTGTGGAGGCCCTATCAGATTCTGTACACTTTTGATATAAGACCCTTGTCTGAAATAGTATTGCCAATGTTTTTCCCCCAAGCAGTAGGTTTTCTTTTCACTCTGTTGGAAAAAAAGTTTGATATGCACAGAGATTTAATACTTAGAAGGTCTCATTTATCAATTACATCTTCTCCAGAGTATATATTTCTGGCTGTATTTGGTGGTCTTTTTATACCATAGTCTAGGATGTCTAAGTTTGATCTCAGTTTTACTCTTATGATCTTTATGGTTTTGGACTTTACACATAAGTCTCTGATCCACCTTGAGCTGATTTTTGTATATGGTGTGAGATGTGGACCCTGTTTCAGCTTTCTGCAGGTAGCAGTCCAGTTTTTCCCAACACCATTTGTTGAAGAAGTTGTCATTTCCCCATTTGATAGTTTTTATTGCCTTGTCAAATATCAGTTGATCATTTCACCCTTGTAGCAGCTGCAAAGTTTAACAGGACAGCAAGTAATAAATGTTGGAGAGGATGTGGCGAGATAAAACTCTTATTCACTGGGATCATAAAATTGTACAACCACTCTGGACGACAGTTTGGTGTTTCCTCAAAAAACTGAACATAGAAATTCCATATGACCCAGATATTCCATTACTTGTAATATATCCCAAGCAAATTAGAATTGAGGCATAAGTAGAGATTTGTACATCAATGTTCATAGTAACGTTATTCACCATCACAAGAACATGGAAATAGTCCAAATGTCCAACCACCTTTGAATGGATTGAGAACTTATGGTACATTCACAATGGTATACTATGCAGTATGGAGGATCAATGATTTTGAAAATTACTACCTAACTTATGAGAGACAGGAGAGCATTATGCTAAGTGAACTAACGCATAGGGCCTCTATGAGTTATGACTACGAGTCGCAATCAATTTGATGGCAATCAACAACGACAACAACATAAAGTCCTCTATTTGCTTTCTTCTTCCTGTGCCTTCCTTTCCCTTTTTCCTACCAAGTCTCTGAAAATAATTTTCAAAATAACGTTCTTATCTTCAATTCTTTATCTCAGGCATTGATTGTTCTTAATGAACCCAAACCAACACAAACACATTTTTATATCTCCTTTGCATTAGGTTATTAAGGGCTGTCATAACAAAGTATTCATAAGAGACTAAGTGTCCTATAAGGACAAATACTGTATAAGACCAGTATTGTAGAAATAGGAAGATAACTTGTAAAACGTTTAGGACGATGCAAGGACAAATACTGCCTATGACCATCATTGTAGAAATAGAAAGAGGGGGAGCAGAGGAGTGAAGACTGTGGGACAGAGTGGTAATCATAGGGTTGCATAATTTGATGGGTGGAGGGAGAGGTGGAAAAAGGAAATAGGCATGATCCGGTGTGAAAAACAATGTATATGAACTTTGTAAGTGAAAAAAACAAACAACCAAAATTGAAGTAAAACAAAAACAAAACCCAACCATATACAACATAAAAAACCAAAACAAGTAGAATTTGGTACTGGATGCTGGGGCTTAGTCTAGCTGAAAGACTAAGTTCCACTCAGTAGTCTGAGGACATTTGAATTTGCATGGATTTGAAGGCTCATCTTGGACTTTTGATTGAACAGATTCACACTTGAAAGAAAGGGAAGCAGGATAAGAGAATGGGGTTGGGGAAGACTGATTGTTTAAAATGGAACGAGCTGATTTCTGAGGCAGGGGTACACTTGTTGCCCATCACTTCCAGGACTTGAAGTTAAAGGGAATGGTCAAGTTGAAGGACTACTTCTTGTAAGCTAAGACCCAGGTCTGAGTAGCTAAAAGAGGGCTATGGAAACAGTGAAACTGAATGTCAACTCCCTTATAACTTGTAACTTTTGAGCACTAACTTAGCTTTTGGTGGATAGAGTTAAAGAGAGTGCCACTTTGCTGGCAACAAGGATGAAGATTGGATTTGGGGATTGGATTCATGCTGATGATCCTTACAACACATTTAGCACAGAGGCAGGGTTTGTTCATTGTGCCTCTTTTCTAGAACAGGCAGTTTTCTCAGCAATAGGGATTTTTTTTCTCCCCTGAGATCTTATCAGTTAAATTAAAATGAAGGCAGATTAGGGCAGGGTGAATACTAATCTAATTTGAGTGATTTCCTTATAAAAGAGGAAAAGTGACACAGAAACATAGAGGAAAAATTATCATGGGAAGATAAACTAAGAAAAGCCCGTTAGAGCTACCAGAAGTGAGATTTTAGAGGCAGCATGGGATTTCATCAGCAAGAATTTGTATACCTAGCCTCTAGAACTAGAAAATAATAAATGTCCCAGTCTGGTTTTCTAAGTCACCTAGCTTGTAGTACTTTGTTATGACAGCCCTTGGTAACCTAATACAAAGGAGATATAAATATGTGTTTGTGTTGGTTTGGGTTCATTAAGAGCAATGCCTGAGATAACTGAAGATAAGAACGTTATTTTGAAAATGATTCTCAGGGAGTAGGAGAAAGGGAAAGGAAAACATAGGAAGAAGAAAGCAACTAGAGGGCTTTATGTTGTTGTTGTTGATTGTCATCAAGTCGAGTATGATACATAATGACCCTATTAACAAAAGGCCTTTCTATAACTTTCTATAACTATCAACATTTATAAAAAATCATAAAGTTTCCAGAGGCATGTTCCGGAGGACTTTATAGGTTTGGTTTATTCTACAGACTATTAGGAGTCCCTATTTCATGTAAAATGTGGATGCATTTTGCTGTTAATGTAAAGTCTGAATGTTTATGTCCACTCAAAGGTGCCTGGTGATATATTTTCAGAAATCATCCTCCGACATCCCTTTTTAGAACAGTTCTACAGTAACACACATAAAGCCACCATTAACCAAATCTGACTTCACAAAAAATGTCAAGGTACATTCACAAGTTTCATGGCTGACTAAGGATACTAAAATATGTTTTGTTGAGTACATAACATAACATAACATAACATAACATACAACATCATTTAAAACCAGTTATAATTGAGTAAATTCTGACTCCTTAAAGCTCTTACTGTGTCAGAGTGGAACTATATTATTTGTAACATTCAATGGCTGAGAGTTTGGAAATAGGTTGCCAGGTCTTTTATCCAAGGTGCTACTCTGTGTGCTTGGACTTCCAATCTGGTTGGACACATTCCTCATTCGCACCACCTGAGGACTCAAACTTCACTAAATGTGTCACTTACCTTGGACCAGATGATGGATGGTTTGGGAATGCCACTCGCTCTGCATGGTAAAGTTACTGGAACACCTTCTATTGTACTGAGTATCTGCTGCCCATGCTGGATGGTCGGCAGAACTGGAGAAGCAAGCAGAATGCAGAATGTGAGCAACTCTTCTTCCTATGAGTCCTATACATTGTTTAAAGTTGAGTGCACACATCAACACCTAACAAAGGGAAATCTCATTTTCTTTAATAGTTACATGCATTAATTAGGAAGTCCTGGTGGCATAGTCTGTAGGGAGCTGCCAAGGCCATAATTTGCCACCACTTCTCAAATCCATCAGCAGTTCCAAGGGAGAAAAATGGGCAATCTTCTCTTGGGCTATTTATAGCTTCTGAGAACAAGTTGAAGGGTCAGCTATGAGTTGGTTTCAAGTAGACGACATTGAGTTTTATTTTGACATTCAGTACTTGATTACATACAGTACTTAATAAGAAAATACAACAGTTATGATCTAGATAATTTGTAGTAACAAGGCATAAATAATGTCTAACTGAAACAGTGATTATCGAAATGGGCTCAAGTATGTCTGAGATGATAAGGATGGCAAAGAATATGACCAAGTTCAGCTCTGCTGTTAATGAGAGCATTAGGAGTTGTACTTTACTTGACAGAACCAAACAACAACAACAACAAAAGCATAAGAGAGAACTAAAGAGAATTCAATAGTTCTTGGGAAAGCTGGAGAGAAACACAATGAACAGATATCTTTGACCACTATCCACTGTGCACTAAGTTTGTGAGCTCACTAAGCCCATCCATAGAGAAACAGGCTGTTCAGCCATAACATATTACATATTGTTGTTGTTGTTGTTGTTATGTGCTGTCGAGTCGCTTGCGACTCATATTGAACCTATGAACAACAGCCCTAAACTCTGCTCTGTTTTGTGCCAACCCCACTGTCTCTGACACTCCCATCTTGATTACCCCAGTCACTGAAACAATCCACCTCATAGAGGGCCTTCCCCTCCAGTGCTGTCCCTCCACCCTCCCAAACATGATGTCCTTCTCCAAGGACCAGTCTCTTCTTACAACATGTCCAAAATATGTTAGATGGAGCCTCAGAATCCTTGCCTCCAAAGAGCCACCCGGTTTAACCCTTTCCAGGATGAATCTGTTTGTTTTCC